ATCCTGCAGGCTGTTTTTATATTCCTAAGTCTCGTGCCACTTTAAAGGCTAACCGTTTTATTATGGTATGAGCTGTGGACTAGAATCCATCAGATGGAATGAAGCGGTCTTCTAAATAGCAGGTATCTATGTAGATGGGTAGGGACGCAGGTGGCTCTATGGGTTAAACCACAGAGCCTAGGACTTGCCGATCAGAAGGTCAGCGATTCGAATCCCCGCGACGGGGTGAGCTCCCGTTTCTCGGTCTCTGCTCCTGCCAACCTAGCAATTCGAAAGCACGTCAAAGTGCAAGTAGATAAATAGGTACCGCTCTGGCGGGAAGGTAAACACCATTTCCGTGCGCTGCTCTGGTTCACCAGAAGCGGCTTAATCAAGCTGGCTACATGACCTGGAAGTTGTACGCCGGCTCCCTCGGCCAATAAAGCGAGATGAGCGCCGCAACCCCAGAGTCGGCCACAACTGGACCTAATGGTCAGGGGTCCCTTTACCTTTATGTAGATGGGTATAAAGGGGGAAATACACAGAATAAGGTGAGAGGGGAAATGAAATACAAAAAAGGACAGACTGACAATTATAGTAAAGGTTAAATAATTGTGCTGTTATGTATGCCCACTGCTGAGCAATTATATATAGACCTTGGGTCAAGCTATCAGCTTATTTTTAGGTAGCACCAGGTTAGGTAGTACTAGGTTAATGGTTTAAAATTCTTATTACTTGAAGTTATTTCCACTACAGCTCCCACCATCTATACTTTTGCCACCTCTCTTGCATCTTATTAGGCTTTTTCTTTCTCCTCTGCACCTTTCCCAAAGCCCTTGACTGAGTTCTTGAAGAACTCCTCCTTGTAGCCTTCCTGACTTGGGACATTTGGCAGCATTTGCTTTCTCCAAGCCTCTTGTGTTCCACTGCATTATATATGCAATTAGATTACAACCCACATTTTCCACATATGCAGGCTTTTGTGCTCCGTACAGGACTGGGTGGTATCCAAAATGTAGTATTTTCTTGTTGTTTGTGTTTCAGTTGAAGCATTTGGCACCATACTCAGGACTTTGGAATTTTAGAAAATGGAAAATGGAAAAGAAGCATAAAAGCTTCGTAAACAAAATAAAAAGGAATTATTATCAGATAACATTTGCCATCTTGCTTGCTGTATGTAATGGCTGTGTTTACATGCCATGTTAAACCATAATGCTTAACTAGGGTTAAATACAAATGAATGTCACGGCCCCAGACCAGATCTCAGAGGCAGAGTTCTATGGCAGCTGCACCTCTAAAATAAAGATAGTGCACCCCATGTGGGTCTGGGCACCAAATCTTCCTCTGAAGAGACACCTCTGCCACCAGAGTCTCATGGCTGGTCTATAGAGTCCTCACAGGTCAATAGAGCCCTGAGAAGATATCCCCACAGTTGGAAGCCCCTTTGGCAAAGGAGCCAATGGCTACAGTAGAAGGCACCAGCCCTTTCACTAGCCAGGAGGTAGCACTAGTGATTATTCAGACAGTATCTCCAGGACCTAGCTGAGATAACTTAGATGGTTGACATCAGCTGCAGGGGCAAATGTGCCTTTGCCTTTGCTTGCATCCCATTAACTTTTGACCTCCCCTTGCTTGGGCCACTGCTGCTCCTTGGTGATCATGTTGCTGAGCATGTCTCTGCTTTGCTCCTCCTGCCCTCCTGGCCACGCTGTGCTATAAGGGCAGCAAACTACAACCACTGGCTTGTTATGTTATCTGAACTGCTTGTCTGTTGCGCCCAAGCTAAACGTAAGTGGTCTAATAATAGAATAATAGAATTGTAGAGTTCAAAGGGACTCTGAGAGTCATTTAGTTCAACCCCCTGCAAAGCAAAAATCTCAACTATAACGCTTCCATGACAGATGGCCAGACAACCTCTCCTTAAAAACCTCCATGGAACGATCTCAAGGGCTTCCATTGCACTATTGAACAGCTCTTATTATCATAACGTTCTTCCTGATGTTTAGTCAGAATCTCCTTTATTGTAACTTGAATCCATTGGGTTCTAGTCTCAGGCACAGGAGAAAACAAGCTCGCTCCATCTTCCATGTGACAGCCCTTCAGAAGTACCGTTACAAATTGCCTCAAAGCAGGTACATTTTTTATACCATTTTTTCATTTGAAAGTATATAAAAAACCAGCAATGTATTGTTGCCTGATGCATTATAGTACATCAAGGCTTTGAATGGGGGATGGTGAAAAATAATGAAAAGCAGATATCCATGAAAACAGCTGAATGTGAATTGCCACTCTTTGGTAAAGCAGAAATATCAGTGAAGGGGACATGGAATGTTTTGTACATCTAATACTAATTGTTTCTTCTGTTCCTAATCTTCTAAAGATGTATTTTGAAATAGCCTGACTTCAAATGCTGCATAAATGGATTGCTGTTCCAAATGTTTCATTGAATAAATGGCTAATTCTGAACAATGCACATTTTCCATTTGCATTCTCAAAAGCAGATTTTCAAGCTACTGTGTGCCAGATTGTTAAAAATAGATTTGGAATAATTTCTGAAGGAGAAATAATGGCAAAGTCTAGCATATGATTTGGGAGATTTCTTTGAGAGCCATAATAAATACTATTGGCTTAATTTCACCCTTTTGTTGGCAGTAGCACACCTGTAGCTGTGTCGTATTCCTTCTAGCCCCATGGTCCGTCCACAAACTGCTATATTTTTACAACACTGAAACATAAAATAAGGAAGGCTCTTTCCAAAGTTTTGTAGCTTTGTTTCACAGTTCTTCACAAAGTTCATTGTGCAGTGTTATGCATGGCAGGTAGTGCTCAAAACATTAGAGTCTTGTGCTTCTTCAGTGGGACTCATGGCTATCTAGGGACTCTTCTAGTCACAGAGGAGGAATATATTCTGCAGGTGGTCAGTACAATCTGCACAGGGGCAGGAATAAGCTAGTGTTTAGTTCTCTGGAGCTCCCTAAGAATGAACAAATTGCCTTGGCCCAAGGTCTATGTATAATTGCCCCATGGTGGGCATGCACAATAGTAGCAGACACTCTGTGTTGCATAGCCCTAGCATCATATTATTGGTGTGTGCATGTTTCTGAACAGTGAAGTTCCATCTACAACTTTTGTGGCTAAAATGGAGCTTGACTCCATTATTCCTGTTCCTAGAGTAACAGCTTCTCATATTCGTACATGCTAAATGCCAAGATTTTGTACATATGTACCCCTGGTGATTGAGATCAAGCATATTTGTAGACCCTTATCCCAATGATGCAATTTTATTAACTTGCAGTGGCCTGGACACAATGATGGGCTGAATGAATCCAACTTAAGTCCATTGATTTCAATGGGTCTACTCTGAATGACTGACACTGGATATATCCCATTGTCTATTTGTAATCAACATTTCCCATGAAGCCTGATAAGAATGGTGGTTTCCTGTAACTGAAAATGATATCCTCCCGGGATATTGATTGATCACTCATTCCTCCCACCCCAAACTATTTTGAGGTAATTAATTGCCTGTTATTCTGTTCTGCACTACAATTGCAGCTTAATTTTGTCAGCTTGAGAGGTGTATTCCATCTGTAGGATTTCTCTTGAAAACAAGTTGAAGCATGTAATTTCAAAAACAGTGGGATCTTTCTGAAAAACACCCTGACAGAGCAAACTAAATTATTTGCAGCCCCCAAGAATTTCCTCACATGGAACTAACTGTCTTCTGTGCTTTTAATAACTGCACCTGCATGGACTGGGAGTGTGGTGAAATTTATGGTGCATGCATGGCTTAGGAGCTGACAGTTTAGGGGTGGGAATCTTGTTGCCCTCCAGATGTTGTTAGACTCCTGTTCCCTGCCACCATAGCCATTTTTCCAGGGATGATGGGAGTTGTAGTCTAGCAACATCTGAAGGGGCCGCAAATTAATCTCTGGCTTAATCCTGTGCAGGGCTACTCAAAAGTAAGCCCACTTTGAGTTCAGTGGAGTTTACTTTCTGGTAAGCAAGTATAGAATTGCAGCCTTAGTGCTCCATGGAAGTTAGCAAAAAGTTCCATTAAAAATTAATAAGGGGTTTTAAATGTTCTTGGCATTTTCTGGAAATAACCACTGAAAGAGCTAACTCTTCAAATATTGCCCACCAGTCTGCTGCTTTTACATGAGGCATCTTTGGGGAGCACTCAGTCTAATTCTCTGAAAAATTGTTTGAAAGAATACATTTTGTTGACACTTTTTTTGAGCTGAACATTGAGACCAGAACCCCAGAATTCTGCCAAATAGCGCACAACAAAGCATTCCTTTAGTAACATCTTCAAAGCCGTTAGAGACTGCTATTTAAATCTTACATAGCTCAGCAGTGCTTTAAAATTCTACTAAGTTTAGTGTTTTCTACCATGGAGCTGTTGACATGCCAACATGTCTGCTGACATCAGCAGTTTTAAAGAAAGTAACAAGAGTAGAATACTAGGAAAACTGTACCAGCAAAAGTGGGGGTGGGAGTGGTAAAGCAAATTGATTCTGTCCATGAGGAAGATCAAGCCCACTATAATAGTCTGTCTTTGGCACAATGATGCAGGTTATGACCTCTTAAAAAAATAAAGGAATATTGTATTCTGAAGTGTCAGAATTTTCTGCACAATTATACAGTTGTTAACTCATTTGTTGCATATGATAACAGAATCCTTCCTTAAGCTACAATTTGCTTGTAACATAAATGCTATTTTGCGGCATTCAAACTACATTGTGGCTATTGCTTTGAAAACGTGATTCCTCATCCCTTCAAACACACAGAGGTGTCAATTGCGGTTATGAGTGCTCTTCGAAATGTGGTTACTTGAGTACCGTGAGCCTGTGATTTCACTGTTGGTGAGTGATAGTTCCCCTCTTTTCATGCTTGTACCAGTCTGTGAACCTTTTCATAATCACTTTTGATAGTAGTAGTAGTAGTAGTAGTAGTAGTAGTAGTAGTAATTATTATTATTAGTAGTAGTAGTATGTCCTAGGGCCATAGATGTTAAAAAACCCACATAACCACAGTGCTTTAGTGAATGATGTGTGGATGATAAAAAGAAGAGCTGCACAGCCAATCACAGACTGAGTTATATTAATCCCAGCTTGTTGAATTTCACTCTTCTGCAGGGGACCCGCTATACCTTCTCTAGGATTAGCTTATATATTTTTGGTGGATGGATTCCTCTGTGTAAAGTAGCTGGTTCTAAACACACTGCTGCATACAATAATCTCCACTAGCTGACTTGCCAAAGGGATGAGTTGGTGTTATTAGCCCATCCACTCCTGTCGAACAGGTGCCTGGCTCTGTTGAAGGTGATTGTGCCAGTCATCTGTTCCATGAGTTGCATGGAGTGACCCAGTTCCATCAAGGGTCTCCATTATTGTCTCGCCTGGTGCATATGGGAGGATTTCATTTTATTTTTACCCCAGTGCATCACTCTGCTTGGACATACAGGGACGAATCCTAAAAGGATTGCCCGCAGTTGCCGAATAAAAGTGAATATATGCCTCTGTACTCTTGTGTTGAAAGTTCATTTTAAATCAATTAACACAAATATAACATTGCTGGTAGAACGTTGTGATGCTCCAGGTCCACCCAGGTAAGCCTTTTTTCTTTTTTCTTTTTACAGTCTTTATATTCAGTAGTTAAATAAAATGCTATTTTGACTGGCCAGAAAAGCATTAAGGTAAAATGGATGTAATGGCATTTTAGCTGCATTGGCTGTGCTGAATAGCTGTGATTAAGCTCAGTCACATATGTATCTGGAATGGTAGTTACATCTGTATTCTGCCTCTACAGCTGTTTGCTAGGATGGCTGATGCATCCACTTGTATCTTTTGAACCATCTTATAGTGAAATATCTCTTGAGACTCGCGTAAGATCTTAATTTGTGATGGAAGTTCCTTACAAGATGAATTGTAGCCTTCCTTGACTCAATCTATATTGGGTAACAATTAGACTCCATTCGGTTTTAAAGTGTATATCTTTATCCATTTCACTATAAACTGATTTTGCTGCAAGTCTAATAAACATGAAAGCTTTCCCAGTTTAACTTGCTCTAGGATGTTTGTTACATCCTAATTCTGCCTTCGCTCATCTCTGCAAGAACTTTCCTTACGCTTTTCAAGGATGTTGTTTCCTTGCTTGCTGCAGTTGTTTTTCTTTTTTATTGTAGGATCGGGATACTCACCGCTAGAAGATGATGAAGACGTGTATGCACACAATAGATATAAAGGTGAATGCTTTGCTTATATACTAATGAGGATCACCCATTACCAAGAAAGCTTTTTTATCCTTTTTCTGCTTGGAGCATGAAGCCTTAGGGTATGTCTGTGCCAGCCAGATTTTTTTTGCACGGTTTATTTATTCTGTGAATAGCTGTGAATGCCCTATCATGATTTGAACTCCAGTGCTACGTTGCTGTGGTTTTGTTTGTTTCAAATCCATGAAAATATGTGTATTTACATCATTAATACCCTTATGCAAAATATTCAAACTGGTTTGAATATTTTGCACCCCCAAAATAATGATTGTGCACAAGTCATGTATGATGTTCCTTCCTTTCAAATAATCTTTACTCTCCCATCTTACTCATGCCTGCTTATTTAGCAGTCTTACAGATATATTCTCAAGTTCATTGTCCCTGGTTCTGATTTTGTAGAGCAATGCATAAGATGAGTCTGACATGTAGGTGCAAAAATCTGGCAACCCTTCTTCCAGAGGAAAGAAATGGAGGTGTGGGGGGGGGGGCACAGTTACTGTAAACGCGATATAAACTACATGGCTTCCAAGTTGGATATATGGAGAGAGGTAGGAATGTTAAGCTGCCATGGAGATGTGCTGACATAGTCACAGCCTTGGAATTGCCAGACTTCATGTGCGTTTGAATTTTCTGTACTTGTTGCTGTTGAACAGCAGAGGATGGTAGAAGCACCACTCATGGATTCTCCTTTTATTTCCAAGGAAAAGTTTTTAATTATCTGACATCAGTTTTTGGAGATCAAGCAGATAGTTCATGTTAATTAAAAATAAGCTGCTTTCTTCTTTCATGCACCATAGCATTAAAATTAAAAGTTGTCTGTGATCTCTACCTGATTGGTGATACTTTACTGAGTTTTTTCCATAGCTTTTCAATAGTATCAGTTCCTCCCCCCCCCCAAAAAGTATGCTAATTATGAACCAGGCAATCCTAAGAATTCACAGGCAAACTCATAACCTTTATTAAGAGGATACTGTTTGCAGCCTTTCTAAACAAATCAATTGCTGGTGACAACTGAAAGTGAAATGGGTTGTTGTTTTCATTTAACAGGCTTGCAAAAGCCCTACCTACCATTCTGCCCTAATGCATATTTTTGGATAGAGCAATAGCTTTTTTATATACAATGGCATACTTAGATATTATTTAGAATGAAGCAACCTTCTTATGGCTGAGTGCTTCTCTGACATTGATTGTTTGTAATTACCCATGTTGAAGGGAAGTAATTAGAGAGCTAGTGAGTTTTCTGTGTGTTTACTTTTGTGTAACGGTAAAGGTAAAGGGACCCCTGACCATTAGGTCCAGTCGCAGACGACTCTGGGGTTGCGGCACTCATCTTGCTTTATTGGCCGAGGGAGCTGGCATACAGCTTCCGGGTCATGTGAGCAGATGACTAAGCCGCTTCTGGCGAATCAGCAGCGCACGGAATTGCTGTTTACGTTCCTGCCGGAGTGGTACCTATTTATCTACTTGCACTTTGACATGCTTTCGAACTGCTAGGTTGGCACGAGCAGGGACCCAGCAATGGGTGCTCACCCCATCATGGGGATTCGAACCGCCGCAAGTCCTAGGCTCTGTGGTTTAACCCACAGTGCCACCCGTGTACCTTTGTGTACTTCAGCATAAACAGGATTATTCAGTCCACACCAGTATCTGTCTCAGCACGCCTAACTTTATTTTTCCTTAAATCTATTGGATTGCATCTGCGTTTTGCTGTCTGAACTTTGGCTAATAGGGTTACCCATTCTGTGCAATGCAGACTCAAAATCTGATGGTGTAATAAAGCTATAGGAATGCTCAGGGTAGAATGTGAAATCCAAAAGAACAGAAGCTGGTATCATAAAAAGTAGACCTTAGAGCTTAATATTTTGAAAGAATGGCAACTGGAACCTTCATGTAGAAGGTGCCTATAACTCTGTTCATAACAAAAAACCACCCTAGTAATTGCCACTAGCTTCATAAACAAAACCCACCACATATCCTGTGAGCTGAGCTCACAATTTAGCAACACAGTGGATTAGGAGGCAAGCATATTGTTGCATGACATCTCCACAACTAGAGTAAGAAGAAAGAATCTTATTTGCAAGGTGGGTAGTCTTGTGTGGTAATCCCCAATCCTTGCTGTGTTGTGGGGTGGGCTCTATTGTGGGTGGAGGCACCATGGCAGTGGCACCAGAGCAATGGTGTCTGTCATCATGTAGTTCAAAACTACCAGTTGCACCCTAGTAGGAGTGGGAGGTATCTTGCTGTGGCCCAATGATCATAGAGTATGTGGAGCTGCCTTTGCAGGTGGTTGAGAGATTTAATTCCAGTATTCAGCTGCCAGGCTGCAGACTGGAATTAGGTGCTGTCCCTGTATTATACCAGAGCTTCGTAGATTGCACTGGCTCAAACTGTTTCTGAACTCAGTTTTGAAGTACTAGGTTTTTTAAAACCCCCACATATGATGTTGGGACCGTGGTATCTAAAAGGTTCCTTCTGCCTTCTACATTCTGCAGTGACTTTGATAATTCTATCTTGGCATAACTCCAAAGTTAACAAGAATTTCATATGCCTGCATTATGTATTCCTGTAGTGCTTTACTCCTTGCCTCCAGTCAGAGGAATATGTCATTTCTGTTTCAATATGCAGTAGAACCTCGATACAAGAGCATATCCAATACATTTCAGAAGTTTTGAAAAAAGGAGTCTCTGTGCTTGTGTCTATATATGTCAGGAATATATATTCTTTATTGAATAGGCTGCTAATGTCCCTTAATCTGGTACATCCATGCTTGTGTCTATAGTATCCTACCATTGGTATAAACAATGTGGTAAGTATTCTATCATTCCTCTGCAAGTGCGGAAATTTTACAGAGCAAATTCCACTAACCCAAAACTAGAGGCCTGCAGCCCCTATTTTGGCTGGTGGGTTTCAATACCTAGAATTCAGCACCACTACCCTGCTGCCCTTCTACCACCTTGCAGCTGCCCAATCAGCAGACCACGGGATAATCTCCCTCATCTCCTGCCCCCATCCCTAGCACATACTTCCCCCATCACCCATCTCTCTCTTGCACGTGTGCCTTTTACTGTGACTCATTTTTAAAGGTGACATTGAGCCTTGAAGAAAAAGGCTCATGAGATTCCTTTGCCTGGAGTAGTGTTTAAACTGAATTGCCTTGGCTGTATGTGCGTTGTGAAGCACATTAATTCATCAGTTTGGATGCTATGTGTAAGTTTTTGTCGCACACCCAGTATTACATTGTAGACCAGTCCCCTCTCTCCAGCGCTGCCCCCAGCCTTGATCTCCCTTCCTGATGCATACGCCATAGGCTTCTAACTCTTGGACACAGAACTTAAAATCCAGCATTATTTTTAAAAATCATTTTAAGTAAATATATGATCTTATAACCAAATGGAATATAGTTTGGTTTCCTTTTGAGGAGAAAAATTTAACAAAATATCTAATAATTCTAACTGTCCACATGGTGGCAGGCTTAATCCGCAAGCAGAAAACTAAGGGGGTCAGTGCTTATCCTCCCACTGCACCCGTGCTAGTCATTCCTTTGATTTTTAGTGGCTCAAGATTTGAACAGAAAATATAATTCACATGCCACACATAGAAAGCAACTGCCTTTGGTGCTGTTACTTTGGAGGGAGTCTATAATCAGCTTGCAGTCTACCTCTCTGTGGGTAATTTTATGTTCTCTTTTTCTTCCCAGTAAACTCTAGTCCAACACCACTTTTAAACGTGTGGGTTTTATCCAACAATGTGTATGCAGAACTCCATTCAAGCAAGGGAATTTCCTCTCCCCTTCACCCCCCCCTAAAAAAAAAAATCTGCTCTGAAGGGTTCCCCAACCCTCTGGCACAGATTTTGAAGGTTGTGAGGAGAGGAGAGGAAAGTTCCATTGCACGAACAGATGTCAGTTGTGCAAGTGGAATTGCAGCCTTAGATACAGTCCTGTATTATTGTGCATTTTCTTTTTCCTCTTATAAATGCACGTATGTCTTTTACCAGATACACCATGGTGCTCTCCTATCAAGGTGAAATACGGCTATGCCAGCTGCAGAAGCCCTCGCGGAGGGTATTATAAAAACGTCTTGGGAACGAAATGCGACATTCGATGCCAGAAGGGCTATGAGCTGCACGGTCCCCAGGAGCTTATGTGTCAGTCAAACAAACGCTGGTCTGGCAAAGTTTTGTGCAAACGTGAGTGGATCATTACTTTGGCTCTCAGTTCAGTTGTTTCTGGCTAATCAGCCTATATCTACTAGAGAGGCAAGAGTTTTTTACACAGCAAAAATATTAACTCTGTTTCTCTATGCACTCTTTATCAATGCTTTTTTTTTTTAAAGTTGCACATACAGAAAACATCTGCAAGGAGGTTAACAAGGACAATCTCCTACCCCAGTGTTAGGGAACCTGTGGGGTCCCAGTGGTGGAGCTTCATGCTCCGGCACTGGGGGGCGGAGAACTGGCGTGTGTCCCTGGGGGCGGGTCGTCCAGCGCAGGGGGGGCAGCCATGATGGCCCCCTGGGGACTGTGCTGCCGGGGACGGGGAGCTCCCCCCGCACTCCTCTTCCTCCGCCAGTGGGGGGGGTCTTCCAGATGTTGTAGGACTCCCACTCCCACCAGCCCCACCCACTATAGGGTTGTATAAATGCTAATATTTGAGCTCCTAACAGCCTCACCATCTAGTGTCTTAAAGCAGAATATTTTAAATACTGTTTTTGTAACAATATCCTTGCCAGGACGGCTAAATAAGACCCGGTTTTACGATATGGAAATACACTTTGTTGCCTTCAACCTCACCATTCCCAGCTTAATCCAAAGCACAATTTGCTCCAAGTGTAAGATAGCAGCAAACAAGGCACACCTTGCTAATCCCTGTCCAACATAAGGCTGTCCACTTGAGTTTTGGCAATTCCGTCTTCCCTGAGCATTTTCACAGCAGAGCCGGCGGGGGGGTGGGGGAGGAAGAAGCAGGACTGCTCGCTTACTTGACCTTGCCTCAGTCTGTGTGTGCTCATGTTTTAAAAGCAATTCAGCCTGAAAGAGTAGTAAAGTACCCGCTGCATCCATTACTTTGGCAGCGGCAGAAGGTGTGTTTGCCAGGGGATTATTCCAGTGGTTATTTTCTCTCTCTCATTGGCCCTAATGGGGGGGGGGAGAGAGAATAAGCCCACCAGTTCCAGGACTGACCTTTCCTGGGAGCAACAGCTGTGCTTTGGATCATGCAGATTTAAGGCCTCCACTGACATGCCATCAGCTTTCGACTGGAAGATTGTTTCATGTTACATATACATTAACCATGATGAACACATGAGAGATGCAGGGTGAAGTATTGGAAAGTGACTCCACTAGTAGTGCATTGCTTTGAAAGCCCTCATATTTTATCAGTTAATCAACACTGACATGCATTTGCTGTACTGCTTTTCGGTGAATAGGTATATCTTTGCATATAGTGCAAAGTTTTTTTAAAAAAATATTCTCATTTGATTTTGGTTGGGTTTTTTTCCCCCTCTGTAGAAAAACGTTGCCCAACCCTTTCGATGCCAGGTAACGGAGGATTCAAGTGTTTAGATGGTGCATATTATAACTCCAGGTGTGAGTATTATTGTTCGCCAGGATACCAATTAAAAGGAGACCGAATAGTACAATGTATGGATAACAAACTTTGGAGTGGACGGCCAGCTTCTTGTGTTGGTAAGTGTGGCCTGGGAGGATATGCAGAGATTGCCTACCTTTGCAGCACAACTGCTGCTTTGCAGTTATATTGCTGCAGCTAAAACAAGATTCAGAGCTCACCCGTGGTCAGGGATGATGGGAGTTGTAGTCCAGCAGCATCTGAAGTGCACAGGTTCCCCAGCCCTGGGTTACAGAGTGTGTGTATAATGAGAGAGGGGCAGTGCATTGTTAGGGCTGGGGAGACCTGGGTTCAAATTCCCACTCAGCCATGAAGCTCACTCCACTGGGTTACTTTTAACCAGCTACTATTCTTTAATCCAGTCTACTTCACAAGGTTGTTGCAAGGGTAAACAAAGGTGCATAAGAACCATGGGTTGCTACCCCTGAGCAACTTGGAGGGTGGGATAAAAGTAAACAAATTCTCTTTAAATGGCTTGATAGTAGATTATTTTCTCACAAACCTACCAGCCTGGCAGAACTGCAGTGCACACATTTGCACTCTGAAAGTAAAGATGACACTACCAGATATGAACCATTTTATCATTTTATTTTATTTTTTTAAATCAGGGACACTTCAATGTCTGTTATCTCCCGCTGATGCTCTTCTGACCTTTGTGAAAATGTTTGTGAAACAGCATTGGAGGCTTTCTAGGATGACTTTGCTGAAATGGTGTCTCACTGTCTTTCATTGATTTTGTTTAATAGTTTCTCCTTATGTGGCTCAAATTAAATTTGTGGGGGGTTTTTTGTTTTGTTACATTGCTGCAGATAAGAAATCCCAGTTGAGGAAGTTCCAATTAGTCATGACTTCTCACAGTTCTGCCCTCTCCACTACAAATTAATGGGAAGAGAGAGGCTCGTGTGTGCGCTTGTCTAGTGATTATCTCTAAGCAGTTAAAATGGCTTAAAACACTGTGGCCCAGCAAGAAGAGTTCATTGATCCATGAGTGCTTGGAGATGCAGTTCCTATAGTAACCGAAGTCTGGTGTCTTAAGTAGCTGAAATTAATAGTAATACAGGGAAACTATGGTCCTTTGCTATAGGAGACTCATAAACATACAGTGGTACCTCAGGTTACATACACTTCAAGTTACAGACTCCACTAACCCAGAAATATTACCTCGGGTTAAGAACTTTGCTTCAGGATGAGAACAGAAATCGTGCTCCGGCGGCACAGCGGCAGCAGGAGGCCCCATTAGCTAAAGTGGTGCTTCAGGTTAAGAACAGTCTCAGGTTAAGAACAGACCTCCAGAACGAATTAAGTACTTAACCCGAGGTACCACTGCATATCAGAAACACTGCAATTCTCAGGAATGTTTCCATTCCTTCTTTCATTTAATTTTGAGTATGCACATATTTAGGTAATGGCTTAAGCACCGAGAATTTGGGTCCTTTCACACACAACTGCTTTACCTGCAGAACTGCTTGTTCTCATGTGCATAGCAAGCAGATTGCACTGACAATTTTGCACCAGCAGCTACTTGTCATTTTGCATATCCTTTCTCAGACTTCATTGAGAAGTTGTACAATGAACCACCACCTTCTGCTAATAGGAAGTGTACCAGAAGACTCCTTTGCAATGAACAGGGAGCAGCTGCCCTGCGGTGAGAGAGCAATCAAGTGTACTGACTCTTTAATACTGCTTCATGCATTATATTTCTTCTCCTGCCTCTCCCCCCGGCATGTATCATGCTCAAAAACACTATTTTTCTAGAAACAGAGGTGCCGGACCTTGCCATGAACGCCTCCCTTGTTTTGTTATAATGGCAGTGGCACCCACCTGAGAGGTGCCAGAACTGAGTTCTGGTGAGTTCCCCCCAAAAAAGCCCTGCTCAAAACATAATGCATCGTGAAGCCTGTGTCATTGGGCTCATATAGTAGGACCCAGCCCTTGATAAAGAACACTGTCAATAGCCTTACATTGCATTTAGGTGGCAAAATTCATACAAAATATTTTTAGAGGTGTCTAGGTTGAAGTTGCCTCTAAACATGCAAGTAGACCTTTTGCATTCAGAACTGCTCTCCAGAATAAACTAGATATTCAATCATTAGAATGCATCAATACACTGAAAAGTTATTTTTTATATGAAGTGTTTTTTTAAAAAAAAACATTGGAAAGTTCTGGAGATTAGAGGAATTTTCAGGTGCATAAAAATGGAAGAAAATAACAAGGGGTGGTGGTATGAAACCATTTCAGTGCTTTCCTGAGCTGCTTGCTTTTAATCTTAAGAAGATATCTTCTTTTTTCCAATAATCTCCATTTGGTGTTATGAATAATGTGCCAGAGTCAATTTTAAGTGTCCTGGTAGCAGTTTGATGATTAACTTGTTGAAGATTATTTCTGCACTGTTTGCATTGCCTGCAGGATATAGCTTAAACCAAGTGCGGCTGTGCTATTACAGTGGATGCTCGGGCTGCGAACATGATCCGTGTGGGATGCGCAAAGAGCGATTTAGCACTTCAGCGCATGTGCAACTGCCGAAACCCGGAAGTAACCCATTCCGGTACTTCCAGGTTTCGGCGGTCTGCAACCCAAAAAACCTCAACCTGAAGCGTCTGTAACCCCAGGTATGACTGTATACCTATACCCGTGTGTTTATTTTTAGATATGGAGCCGCCTAGAATCCAGTGCCCAAGTGTAAAGGAGAAAACAGCAGAGCCCAATAAACTGACAGCCAGAGTGTTCTGGGAAACCCCAGAGGGAAGGGACACTGCAGATGGCATTTTGACAGAGTGAGTGAAAATGTGTGAACTAACTAATGTATATAAAGACATGGGTTGGATTTAATACACAGTCACCCCTGGAAGTCTGTATGTGCCCACAGAGCTTGTATTTCAAGTGTTCCTGGTCTGCTTGGTACAGGCAGAGCAAATCCGGCTGCACAGGTGATTTCTGATTCAGGGGTTGTGCTTCAAGCAGTAAATCTACAGATAAACCTCCACAGGGACAGTGTTTGTTCTTGGTTATATATGTAGCATTCTGTTATATTTGCTGCCAGTGGGGAATTTTGGGAAAGGATATATTGCCCTGCTATAATCAGAGCTGCAAACTGAACATTAATCTTCTAAATTGTATTCCCTAAAAGGTCCTGTCTCTGCAACAATAATAATTATTGTTTGCAACATTTTCTTTCTTTTTAGCGTTATTTTGAAAGGACTACCACCAGGATCACATTTTTCAGAGGGAGATCACAAGATCCACTACACTGTGTTTGACAGAGCCGGGAATAAGGGAACGTGCAGATTTTATGTTAAAGTTAAAGGTAAGAACATTTGCTGTTGGGGTTGGAGGAAGCACAGACATCAAAGTTAGGTCCTATTTATTTATATCTTACCTGGAGCATGGCTGCTGCTGCTTTTGCAGTTTCTCTGATGGTATTCGGTGTATGTGATCTTCGTTAACCAGGTGGGTACAAGATGTAGACAATGCCAGGAGGTTGTGGCATCAGTCCATTATACTTCCTGATGTGGGAATATATGTAAAATCATGTGCCTCTATTCAATTTTCCTAAGCTAGGGATCTGCAAACTTGCCCCCACTTTGTATTTATTTATTTTTAGATGTTAGGTGAAAACTGCTCCCTTTTGGGGGGACAGGCTTTTGGAGGCTGATAGGTGAATAATTTCTGAGTTTTGATTGTTTTAATCTTTATTATGTGTTATATTTTGTGTTGCCTTAATTAGGTGTAAATCACTCTGTGACCATTTTCGTGAAGGGCATAATGGAAATATCTTAATAAGTACAGTGGTACCTCAGGTTAAGAACTTAATTCGTTCTGGAGGTCTGTTCTTAACTGAAGTACCACTTTAGCTAATGGGGCCTCCTGCTGCTGCCATGCCGCCGGAGCACGATTTCTGTTCTCATCCTGTAGCAAAGTTCTTAACCCAAGGTACTATTTCTGGGTTAGCGGAGTCTGTAACCTGAAGCGTCTGTAACCTGAAGTGTCTGTAACCCGAGGTACCACTGTAATTAAAACTATGTTCCACAGTTTTGGAAGATAGCTAGGCGAGAGGTGCCAAAAAGAGCCCTTGTGAATGGTTCCATCTTCACCAGTTTGAGTTCTACCAGGGTATGTCGCTGATAAGAGCGGCTACGAATAATTAGTGGAATGCCCTTGGTTTTAGTGTTGGAGGAAGCATTGCTTAAGAAATGGCTTATACATACAGAATAGCCTGTCTGAGAGTTAGATGTTCAAGCTTAGTGACTGATGCGCAACTGGAATTGTTTCACACTTTGTTACTGCTGCTGCTGCCGCCATCACCCTTCACCAAATAGGGCATTTTGCAAAAATAAATAAATCACAATACTGTTGTTAAAATCATAACATTAAAATCACAGAACCAACCAATAAGAAAATTAGCACCACAAAAGTACTGGGCTGTTTGGCACATAGCAATGCCTTCTGCAGAGTCTGGTTTTGCAACAGCCCCTGCTTCGGCAGTGGAACAGAGCTGCCCCCTTGCTATGTATACTTTGGAAAAACAGGCAGAGAGCCGGGCCCACAGTTTCTAGCTGTTGTGCCACTAAATGGCTCTTGGGGGAAGTCTTGTGCCACTGGATGAGCAAAAGGAAATTGGTAATATAGAGGTTGTATTAGAAGCTATGGTGCCTGCATATTGCAGCAATTAGCATTATTCCGTGCATTAGCAATAGACTGTGCTAGGTCTAAACTCTGCCATGCTGATGTAGCATAAGCTCAGGGCTGTTAACAATATAAGGAATATCTGGCTATACTATGTATCAGTTAATATCATAGAATCATAGAATCATAGAGTTGGAAGAGACCACAAGGGCCATCGAGTCCAACCCCCTGCCAAGCAGGAAACACCATCAGAGCACTCCTGACATATGGTTGTCAAGCCTCTGCTTAAAGACCTCCAAAGAAGGAGACTCCACCACACTCCTTGGCAGCAAATTCCACTGTCGAACAGCTCTTACTGTCAGGAAGTTCTTCCTAATGTTTAGGTGGAATCTTCTTTCTTGTAGTTTGGATCCATTGCTCCGTGTCCGCTTCTCTGGAGCAGCAGAAAACAGCCTTTCTCCCTCCTCTATGTGACATCCTTTTATATATTTGTACATGGCTATCATATCACCCCGTAACCTCCTCTTCTCCAGGCTAAACATGCCCAGCTCCCTTAGCCGTTCCTCATAAGGCATCGTTTCCAGGCCTTTGACCATTTTGGTTGCCCTCCTCTGGACACGTTCGAGTTTGTCAGTGTCCTTCTTGAACTGTGGTGCCCAGAACTGGACACAGTACTCCAGGTGAGGTCTGACCAGAGCAGAATATAGTGGCACTATTACTTCCCTTGATCTAGATGCTATACTCCTATTGATGAGGCCCAGAATTGCATTGGCTTTTTTAGCTGCCACGTCACATTGTTGGCTCATGTCAAGTTTGTGGTCAACCAAGACTCCTAGATCCTTTTCACATGTACTGCTCTCAAGCCAGGTGTCCCCCATCTTGTATTTGTGCCTCTCATTTTTTTTGCCCAAGTGCAATACTTTACATTTCTCCCTGTTAAAATTCATCTTGTTTGTTTTGGCCCAGTTCTCTAATCTGTCAAGGTCGTTTTGAAGTGTGATCCTGTCCTCTGGGGTGTTAGTCACCCCTCCCAGTTTGGTGTCATCTGCAAATTTGATCAGGATGCCCTTGAGTCCATCATCCAAGTCGTTGATAAAGATGTTGAATAAGACCGGGCCCAAGACAGAACCCTGTGGCACCCCACTAGTCACTCTTCTCCAGGATGAAGAGGAACCATTGATGAGCACCCTTTGGGTTCGGTCAGTCAGCCAGTTACAAATCCACTGAGTGGTAGCATAGTCAAGACCGCATTTTACCAGCTTCTTTACAAGAATATCATGGGGCACCTTGTCAAATGCCTTGCTGAAATCAAGGTAGACTACATCCACTGCGTTCCCTTCATCTACCAGGCTTGTAATTCTGTCAAAAAACGAGATCAGGTTAGTCTGACATGACTTATTTTTCAGAAATCCATGCTGACTATTGGTGATCACAGCATTCCTTTCTAGGTGCTCACAGACTGTTTGCTTAATGATCTGCTCCAGAATCTTCCCTGGTATTGATGTCAGACTGACTGGGCGGTAATTATTTGGGTCCTCTCTTTTCCCCTTTTTGAAAATAGGGACAACATTTGCCCTCCTCCAGTCTGCCGGGACTTCGCCTGTTCTCCAGGAATTCTCAAAGATGACTGCCAGTGGTTCTGAAATCACATCTGCCAGTTCTTTTAATACTCTTGGATGCAGTTCATCTGGCCCTGGAGACTTGAATACATCTAGACTAGCCAAGTATTCTTGTACTATCTCCTTAGTTATTCTGGGTTGTGTTTCCTCTGCTGAATCATTTGCTCCAAATTCTTCAGGTCGGGCATTGTTTTCTTTATCGGAGAAGACTGAGGCAAAGAAAGCATTGAGGAGTTCAGCCCTTTCTGTGTCCCCTGTTTGCATTTCACCATCTTCTCCTCTGAGTGACCCCACGGTTTCTTTGTTCTTCCTTTTGCTACGAACATACCCATAAAAGCCTTTTTTGTTGCTTTTAACCTCTCTAGCAAGCCTGAGTTCATTTTGTGCTTTAGCTTTTCTGACTTTGTGTCTACACGTGCTGGCTATTTGTTTGAATTCCTCTTTGGTGGTTTCCCCCCTTTTCCATTTTTTGTACACATCCTTTTTTAATCTTAACTCAGTTAAAAGTTCTTTAGATAGCCACCCTGGCTTCTTTAGGCACCTTCCATGTTTCCGTCTCATTGGTATTGCCTGAAGTTGTGCTTTTACTATCTCCCTCTTAACAAACTCCCAGCCATCTTGAACTCCCTTTCCTTTTAGTATTACTGTCCATGGGATCTCACCCAGCACTTCCCTAAGCTTTATGGGGTCAGGAACGGAGCCAACCTGTACACGTACGTAATGAATCATTCCAGTAAAAGAGCAGCACATGGGGTGGCAGGATTGTGTGTATTGTGGGAAGACTGTGTGTGTTAATGAATCTATATGTCAAACTGATTATAAAATCAAAAGATGCTGATGTCTCTTGAAGGCTAAAAAACCCAAAACCCATGCAATTGCATTTTCATTTCATAGTAGTGATGTATTAGGAGAGAAAATGAATCACTGAGTGCTCCTCATTTTGTGTTTACAGTCAGACGCTGCGGGAAACTGAATGCTCCAGAAAACGGCTACATAAAATGTTCTGGTGACGGGGATAATTATGGCGCAACCTGTGAATTTTCCTGCATCGGTGGATATGAATTGCAGGGAAGTCCAGCACGAGTTTGTCAGTACAATTTAGGCTGGTCAGGAACGGAGCCAACCTGTACACGTACGTAATGAATCATTCCAGTAAAAGAGCAGCACATGGGGTGGCAGGATTGTGTGTATTGTGGGAAGACTTGCTTAGCACAAACATTGTAATTGTTCCACATGCTTCAACACTTGCAATTGTTCACTGGGTTTTGGCTAGCAAGCTGTTTATGCAGGGTTAAGCAAGTGAGATGTTGCTAATGAATAATGATCTCCATGTTATAAAGCTTACCTGTCTATTGAAGATGACATGAGATACAAATCTGTGGCTAAGCCTAAATGCGGTATTTTATTGTGTTAATGCCAAGACAGTTCTCACTTTTTCCAGAGGTGTTAAGTCACCCTGTTCCACAGAAGCTTGTGGGAAGTTGCACAAATGCAGTGAGGCTTTTATGTTATTTCCTAATCACCAGTTTTATATTCCCTATTACAAGCTGTTTTAAAAACTCATATTCATGTTTAGAAACAGCTTGCAATGTAGCATTAGCAGGCAAGGGTGCTGGGGAGCTCTGCCTGGATGTGTAAAAGAAGCAGCTTTACTTTAACACACACATTAAAGAGCTGTCCGTGCTACATCCATTATATACGGATTTCCTTTCTCCGGCTTGAGATTTCTTTGCATCTCTCTCCTGTTCTCATTCTATTGATCTCTTTCTCTTTCTTGATAGGAATTGATTACTAAACATCCGCCCACATTCTCCTGCCAACTCAAAACATGTGCAGATTTTGCAAAGTAGATACCACTTAGCATCTGGAAGAAGCAGTAATTTGTTGCAGGTTGTGAGTGAAAAGATTTAAGTGTGATTCTTTTCCAGTATTCTGGCTGCTAGATCCAAGATACTTGGCAAGATATGCATGCAGAGCACTTAAGTATTATGAACATCTGTATCATTAATGGCTAGCAGACTTCCTAAGAGCTGTGTGTACCAGAGAGGAGCCCAAACCAGGCCCCAGGTTTTAACCCTCAGCATGGCTAGCTAAAATATCTTAAAGGACAGGAAAAATCTTGCCTCAGATTCTGGAGAGGTAATACCAGTAAGGATAGAGAAACCTTTGATGAGCCAATGGTCTAACTCAGTAAAGGTATTCTCATAAGTTTAGAATGATGCACCAATATGCCAGTATAATGTCATAATATTTGGCATTACTTAATGTTGCGTGCAGAGGTAGCATTGCGTCCAATCTCTAAAATTAGGACTGCCCAGATGTGTCCCAGTGTCCCAGGCATTGGTGGGTGATTGTGCATGAAACACGCTTCAAGGACCCCACTCACTCTGTGAGCCTGTGAGGTGTCAGGTCAAGACTTCTCTTGATTGAATGCTTGCCTTATTTGAATCTGTTGCATATTTTGTGTAGGGAAGACGAGTACTTTTAACCAATCTGATAAAGCAGAGATAGCAACGTGTGGCCTTCTAGCTTCTGTTGGATCATAATTCCCATCATCCCTGATTTCCTGGCTAGGTCTGATAGAAACTGGAGTCCTACAACATATGGAAGTTCACAGTTTGCCTGCCCATGTCAAACTTTGCCTCATGAACTAATGACACAAATAGGTGGCGGGTTAATTATTCAACGTGAGTGCTTGTAATGTACATGCCACCACAAGCCCATTTTCAATAATCACCATGACATGTTTACATGCTAGTTTGAATGCTGGAAAAAATAACATCTCTGCAACACAAGTATATGCAGCAGACTGTGTCCAGATCCTCTACCAGAAATGAACAACAACTGTGCATTTCCTGAATTTATGCAAATTTCTGATAATCCAGAAAGAGATCTAAGGTTATAACCCTTCAGGGCTTTATTTGGGAGTGAATTCAGTTGAATCCAGAGGGATTTGCTTATGTTTAAAATGCATAGTCTCAGGCTGCACATCTTGCTTTTGAGTTTTATGTTGCTGTTAAGAATTGAGCTACCATTTAAAACCTTGGTGTTGAGTTGAGAACATTCTTGATTCTTTCAATCTGTTCTGTCCCCTTTTGACTTCCATGACCAAATCAGTTGCCATTATCTCCAGCTGCTCAAGGTTGAAAACAGGTCTGTTATGATGATCATCATTGTCTTCTTGCTTGTAATTTCAGCCATGAACATTAATGTTGGTGTGAGGACTGCAGCAGCCCTCCTGGACCAGTTTTATGAGAAACGGAGGCTGCTCATTATATCCACTCCGACTGCAGCCAATTACTTCTATAGATTGCAATTGGGAATGCTGCAGGTGAGGCACAGCTCCACTTTAGCTCCCAAAATAGTGTAGATGAACCGTGTCTTTAACAGTGCATTAACTTTTATGTCTCGAGAGTCCCTAACATTACAGGACCATAATAATAAGCACACATTGCAGAAACTCCCATTACGATTAATCCACTTGATGTTTATCCCCAATTCTTATCTTGATTACTTTAGCCAGCGCTGTGTGGTTTAGATCTCCGGCACGTGACCGTGATTGAGTTGGTTGGAGTCTATCCAGCACAGCTGGGAAGAATAGGCTTGAGACTGATGCCTCCTGCGCTGGCTTTGCAACTCAGGTAAATTTAAAACTCTTTGTTGATAATAATTCAGAATTGTTCCCCCACCCTAATATTGCCCTTTAATGTCTTGATTGCATTTTTAGGGAAGCACAATATTTGTTTAAAATAAAACTGAATGTGAGATTCCCTTGAGCAAACAGCATCCCTGAACAGAAATTCTGCATGAGTTGAATTCTGCATGAGTTGGAGAATTATTTCTCAAGGAGACGTGGTGCAAATTTTATAGTCACCAAGCAGTGTATATAAAGAATATGCCTGTTCTGATGTTTAATCTTGCAATCCATTTTTCTGAAGCAGAGCTCTGCCTTATACCAATTACTGTGTCCTCCAGCCCAGGCTTCCTCAACCTTGGGCCTCCAGATGTTTTTGGCTTACAACTCCCATGATCCTTAGCTAGCAGGGGCAGTGGTCAGGGATGATGGGAATTGTAGTCTCAAAACATCTGGAGGCCCAAGGTTGAGGGAGCCTGCTCCAGCCCACATAAAAGCCTGCCTTTGTAGACTCAAAAGTTATATGATAAACAGGTACATTACCGTACATGCTTCTTCCATGGCAGCTGGAGGTGGAAATGCTGCTCTACTTATTACAGGTCTGGAGTCTACAGAAGATGCACTTTTCCTATGCTTAGAGCTGTACAGATGGGATGTTCAAATTGCCACTATATCAGGGTGGCAAACCTCTGGCCCTCCGATGTTGCTGGAGTCTAACTCCAGCCATTTAACCATTAACTACAATGGGAGTTGGACCCAACATCAGGAGCGCCCCAGGTTAGCTACCTCTCCATTGCACAGTAAGGAGATCAGCTGCTTCATTCCACAATTGAGCGTCATAGCTCATATTGATAAACCAGGACATAATTGGCAGGATCATGCTATTGTTGAGTCCAAACCCTATTTCCACCTATTGCAAGGGGAACCAGTTGTTGTTCTACTTTTCCTCAGCACAGATGTGTTGCACAAGGTCAGTTTGCACTGTGTTTCAGAGTTAGGGTCTTTTCTGCTCATAGGAATGTAGTGGTCCCACTAAGCCTGTACCAGTCATTTGGAAGAGTAGGGAAATGATGGAGTTTTCAGCACTGCATCAGTGGCTGGTGCTGCTTACTGTCAAGGCTGTAAAGAGGAAGTAGGGATGGGCAGGCTGCCCAACACAGTGGGCAGCATGGTCCTTCTGGAAAAAAACACACCAGTGGACAAAATCTTGAGCAACTTTCATAGATGTAACACGATAACTTGTACAAGATTGACTGTAGCAGCTTTCATTCCAAGACTGGACAATTGTCTTTTTATTTCATGGTCTAAATTGTATATTGACTGGCTAGCTGTGGCTGAGAGTCCAGTTGTGCATAATCTTTGACTTTAAAAAATATCTGAAAAGAAGGGATTGTTCTTTCTCATACTTCATTGCAATGGATAGTTATGGCCATACAGCTGTGGAGCGTGTCTTCATGGTGCCCAGGCTGCAGGGAACACAACACGGCAGGTATATGTCCTTCCAATCAGTTAGGATTGCAGTTAGGATTGGACTGATTAGAAGGGTACCTGTTTGTTAACGCCCTGCTAGGCCCACGCTGCTTTGCGAAGCTCGAATGTGGGCTCGGACTTTCAAAGCAGCATGGGCAGCGTGAGGAGCAAATGGTCTCAGGTCAACGGCTTTTGCTATGCCTCTGTGACCATACATGTAATGTAGCTGCTTATTTTGAAAGCAAACCAACTGCTTCTCTCTTCATATTGTCAGGTTGTTGCTCCGCATTCCCCACTATAACTTCAATATGGTGGTGGTTGATAAACATGGTGTGGACAAAGAACGATATCCTTTCCCAGCGACTCCTGCTGAGCTCTTTGCTCTCATTGATACTTTTCCTTTGAGAAAAGAAGAAATGAAACTGCAAGCAGAAGCTGGCCAGTCCTGTCCCTGAGTCTGGACTACAGCCATTCGCGTGGCGGTATGTTGCTGCCCTCCCTGCCCCTCCGGTGCTACTACACAAAGCATGGTATTATGGAAGTCACTGATGTACAGATTCTTTTTTTAAAAAAAAATGAATGTATGTTTGTGTTTAGCTTTGTGTGTGTGTGTTGTGGAGCTTCCTTTATTTAGCATTTTACATAATGCCTCTTCACTATTTCCAGAGATTTCTAAGAAAATCTATAGAAGAGAATGAAAATATCAAATTACCTTGGTTAGGTTTCCAGGAATGCCTTTGAACGTTGCTCCTTGTGTAAATGTTTCCTTTTCTTTTTACAGATCTTTAATAAATATGTTGTTTTGCAGTTTATGGTTTTAATCTTAAGCATTTGGGTATGGAGTAACTACAGATAGTGCTAAGGCATTATATTTAAGATACTCCCAAGGAATGGAGGCAAAGAAATAAACAGAGAATTATGTCTTGATTATCAAACTTGGCAAAGTTTATAATTAGTACCTGCAGCTTCACTTTTCTGGCTATACTCCTTTATTCTGGGCAGGGCATAAAGCAGGAATTACAGCCTGTGGCTTAGTTTGTTTTCTAATTTACCAAAGAAGTAATGTCGTTAATCATTTTTAAATGTTGTTCCCACAACTTTTTGTCTTGCAAATGTTTGGGGACTACAGCTCCCATCAGCCATGCATGACAAATGCTCTGAGATGATGGGAGTAGGCCTTGGCGATGTAGTGATACATCACCCAGGACTAGAAGTGGTGGCTGCTTCACCCAGCGGTATATTGTGGGTGAAACTGCCTCTGCTGAGTCCATCTGCCACCAGCACCCAGCACATGAAGGAGAGACAAGCTGTGGTGGTTTCACGCAAAATATACCACCGCCTCTGGTCCTCATACCACTGAGAGAGGAACAAGCTGCATTGGCCAGGGCTGATGTAGCTGGTTTCTCCCTCAGCTGCCCGCAGGGGCAGGTGGCACCTTTAAACTTATCCGTTCAGGGGCATGCAGCTCCTGCTCCTCAACGGAGCCCCACTTGGCCTCTGGCTTGTGCCAGCTGGAGGCAGGGTCCGTTGCACTTGAGGGAGCCCTGAAGATGGAGCCTGTCAGGTTCCATCAGTAGGGCTTCCTCTGTCTCTCTCCCAGGAGAAAGAGATAGCTTGTCTGCCCCTGACGCCGGCAAAGGCGGAGGGAGCCCTGCCCACAGCTGGTGCGAGTTGGAGGCAGGGTGGGGGCTCCTTTAAACATGTCCATTCAAGGGTGTGTGGCTGCCTGCTCTTCAACAAAGACGTCAGCCGGGGGCAGGAGCCTGTTCGCCCCTGGGGTGAAACTGCCTCAGCTCCCATGGTGAGAGCTGAAGCAGTTTCAGCCCACGCCTCACGGGCTGGGGCCAATGCAGCTTGTTTCAACGTTGCAGTGTTTTGCCAGAGTGTGATGTTCGGTCTGGTGATACATTGCAATGTTGAAAACCTAACATCACCCATCTTAACAGCCACCTGGAGACCACCAGCTTGCAGAAGGTTGGCATGAAAAACCAACTTAATATTCTAAAGCTAGGCTACTAAGTAATCAGTGTTAGTTATTTAATAGTATTTAACAGGGGAGGGTGAATTCCCTTAAACTTTGCTACTCTCACTAGACTTTTCTCCCGCAAGGATAATTATATTCTTAAATTTAAAGAATAATCATCAATAAGTAGGGTTGGCTCCAGACATGTTCCTCCACAAATGGGAAAAAACCCCTTCTGTTCATTGGCCTTTGAGCCAATGGCAGGAGGGACACAATTTGCACCAGTTCTATTTCACACCCTTAGCATCCTGTGAGCAGAAAATCACCCACAGGGAGTCTTAAACAATATCCCCTTGGGTTGAATCTAATATATTTTATGAAAACAAATGTAGCTCATCAGCAAAGATTATTTTCTTATCCCATGAGGACCCGTGCAATAACAAGTACCCATCTTTGTTCTATTTTGCAGCATTTTGCAATTTTACTATAGCTGAGGGTTAGAATGACTTATTATAGAGGAGAGAAAACCTGTTGCCAAAGAGGTCAGGAAAGGCAACAATTTCACCTGCCTACACTGGGAAACAGTGACCTAGAATTGAGGTGGGGAACCTCTGGCCCTCCAGCTGTTGCTGGACTAGCTCCTGTCATCCACAGCCAACATGGCTAATGATCAAAGCCTTGGGGAGGCCTGGGGGTCCTGCCACCAAGAGGGCTACAGGATCCACATGCTTGAACTAGAGGAGTCCCTGTTTAAAAATTCAGCTTGCGCATAGATCGAAATTTTAACATGGTGAAATATTTTAATTGCACACAAAAATAAGACCTTTTACACTAACTGCAAATGAAGCCAGTCTCTCCCCCCCCAATACATAAGTCTGTATAAATACATAGGAATGTACACTAAAGCAAGCCTGCATGGGGGCGGGGGGAGTTTTGGCTGACTTTTGGTAGGGTTTAACATAATGCAGTTCCCTTTGTAATTTGCTACAGTTCATGCTCAGCATAATTGTTCCAAATGAGACAACAGGAAAAAATACATTAGAAAGACATTGCACACAACAAAGCATTTTTGCTGATAAAATAATAATAATCTAACTTACATGGATGTTTTTAACACGCTGCCAAAGCCATCTGAAGACTAGCAGGATAAAATTCTGCAGGACAGTAGTTAAAGCAAGCAGTTAGCATAATTTATTGCCACAGTTGAGTTGTGCTAGTCAATCTCTTAAGATTCAAGCAGGGGAATGAATCCACCCCATTGTCTTCTTAAAAGTTGGAGCCTGACGGTATGAGGTGGTTATTCCATGGTGTGCTAGAGAGCACATTACTTGTGCCAGTCAGAAGGCAGTATCCCCATGGACTTTTGGTGCAGACTGAACAGCATCGTCTGGTAAAGTTACAGAAGAAACATCTTCACTTAGAGCAAGGGGAGACCACCATTCGGCACTTCAGAGTCTGTTGGACTCCTATGAGCTGCAGCCAGAATGGGTGATAGAGATGGGGAGGAGCTGGTGTCCAGCAGCATCAGGAAGACCACAGATTAGCTACCCCCGATCCTGATTTTTTTAGAGGATCTACTATTTTTATATGCAAGTATCCACACCATTGCCAGAAAACCCAGTAGGCGCATGTGAAACAAGGCAGAGTGCGAGACCTGTGTTTAGTAAACAAACTGTGTGTCTCAACTAAATAGACCTTTTTTTGGGTGGTGTTAAGACAGATGAAATTTGTGGATTTGGGGAGGTTCTCATATTTGAAAAGTGGAAGTCTGGTCTTTTTTTGTACTTTCTGACTTTGGGTCTTTAAAATGCAGTTAATATCTATCTATAAGCTGGAAAATTACAAAACTGGTGTAGTTAAATGTAAAAAAGAGAAAGAAAGAAATTGTAACAATACTTTTATGAGATTCTATGATCTGGTTGCGTGGCAATATGAAGAGACAGGAAAAGTTTGAAAGCTGCCACCATACCTGCTCTACTGAATTCATCTCTACCCTGTGGGATACAAAATGGTTAAATAGAAAACAGATCGCCACACTTCATTTAGTCATTCATGCACCAGCCACAAACCTAGCCTTTTGGGTTGCTGTTGGTATTTACAGTATCCAGTTTCACCTAGTATCAATACCATTTTATGGCAATGACTGCAGTTTTCAAATGGGAAAAGTGATTTTTGAACACAGAAATGGACCTGTTGTGCTTCTTCTGAATCACTGCTCTGCCTCATCTGTTCACCCACTAGGACATGTCTTGAATGAGGTCTGATTCACATGCTGCGTTTCAGCCATTTTTAATATATTTTTAAAAAATATTCCTCTGTGTATGTATCCCATGCCACAAAGCCCAAGGATTTTTTTTTTAACTTTAGTTACTGAAATGCAAAAAATTATATCATAATGAGCCATGGGAGACCTGCATATTATAAGTAATCACTTCCCAGGAACATTTGTCCAGTCTGTTCATTTAAATGAGAGAGAGCCTTATTCACTATGTGAATTTAAGAAATCCATAAAGAATTGGGGGGGGAGGCCTTTCACTAAAAGACCCACACCCTTTAATTTAAAAGTAGAGCACTACCACCATGCCAATATATCGTAAAATATTTAGAAATGGGTCCTGAAATGTATGTTTGGGTTAAAAGTAGGTCCTGGCTCTGAAAAAGTTCAGATACCTGCGCTAGAACAGTATTGTTACCAATACCAGTATGCATTTCTATTTTATTTTTCGTGCTGTTAATTTTGCTGGTGTTTTAAAACAAAGTATTTTCAAAACATTATTTTCAAAGCTTGATACAGCAATTATGCATTAAAAGATAGCAACTATAATATAACAGTGTCAAAAATAGACCTGATTTCTATTTCTATAGTTGTTCTTGGGTACTTGCCACCTTGGTGGTGACCACCTTAAAGAGCAGTGAGAGCAGATGCAGTGCCTTGCTGAAGTCACTGGACTGGTTAAGGATCAAGTGGGCTTACTGTAACGCTGCTAAGAAGCTACAGCCAGATCTCATGCTGAAAGTGTGCTTGAAGTCTATGCACATCTAGTTGGAGTACAGTACTTCTTTTGGTGCAAAAGCCAGTGTTGGTTTTTTAAAAACAACAAATAAGTGGGAGCTTGATTTTGTTAAGAATGTGTAACTAAAAGTCTTGGTAAACAGAAATTTACCATGTGTGTGTCCCCATAAGTCAGTATTTGAGTATATGCAAAAGGTCTCTCACATTTCTAAACATAATTATTATTGTTTTACTGTGGGAAAGATGGTCCTTCTAAGACCCTGGAGAACTGCTGCTGGGTAGAGTTATCAGCAGAGAGCTAGATGGACCAGTGGTCTCACTCTTAAGAGCGCTTCCTATGTTCATAAATTCCACCAAGGTGAATGAATCCTAACTCTCAGATGACAGTACTTGGACTTCAGGGCTCAGCTTTCGCTTTAGTGATATAAATAATGACTTGGGCAGTGCATCAGGCAAGAGCCACAGAGACATATGGCCCTCACCCAAGAGCCCATGTTTATTTGAAATGGTTGTCCTGCCATGGACACCATTTGAGAGCCATCCTCCCTGCCAGAAGTATGGTTCACAACTACCTTGGTTGCTTCTGCACCACCAATAACTAATCCAGCAGTTGGGGCCTCCCGACAGTGTGAAGATCCTATTGCTCACTGCTCTGCTATTTGCTTTAGTGGCACAGCATTCACAGTATCTTCAAAAGAAAGCAAACCAAAGTAGACTACAAGTCAAAGTGCACTTCCAATGCAGTTCTTCAAATTGAATGCTCCTATTCTCCTTCAGCCAAATTAAAATGGAAAAGGCACAGCATTGCTCCCTTTGAATTCTTCAGCGCAATGTACTGCCTGAAGCTACTCAGCAGGAGCAGTGACTGTGCCATTTGAGTTCCAGTGACTGAGGAGTTGGGTGTTGAACGGTTCACAGCAGGATTAATGCACCACAAGTGCCTCATCTTTGGACTGAACCAGAGCTTTATGAAAGAAGAAGAAAGATACAGTCACGGCTATACTTCAAATCTGCTTCACATCCTACTCTGACTAATGTACTTTAAGGCCTGTATCAGGCGTGGCTAACGTATGACCTTCCAGATGTTTGGACTTCAATTCCCATCATCCCCAGCCAGCACGGCCAGTAGTCAAGAATGACATGAGTTGGGTTACAGCTGACTGGAGGATCTCAGGTTAGCCTAGCCACCCCTGACTTAGATAGAAAACAAATACAATACAAAAACAAAAAGCTGAAAGAAGTAGGTATGTACAACTTAAGGAAAGGGATGAGGGGGGTTTTGGATATTAATATTACAGTTTTCAAGTGCTTAAAGGGGGTTTGGGGTAAAGGGGAATAATTGATCATTCAATTCCTTACAACAGGGAAGGAGGTTTAAGTTAAATATATTAGCAGCAAACAGCTTAAATCTTAGTGCAGTGCAGTTACTTGGTAGAGGCTATTTTTTAAAAGTTTAGTAGGCACTAACAACCCTGTTTTAGGGCACAGATTTGATTATCAGCTTGATAGCTTTCAACTAACTTAGGAATGTTCATTAATTATTCTTCTCTGAAGGTGTCAAAGTCCTGGGAAGAATTAACTTGGTTATACATAGAAAGGTAGGGTGGTATCCAGTTTCGCCAGCACAATGAGACTTCCTCTCCTCTCCCCACACCCCCTCAAAATCTACTCTGTAGAATCCTCCAACTCCCTGGAGCAGATTTTTATACTGTAGGGGGAGGCAAAGTTACATTGCGTAAGTGGAGGCCTGCTGCGCTAGCAGAATAGCAGCACTGGATGCGACCCTTAATGGCAACTGCTTCTTCTGTCCAATTGTTATGAGTGTCCTGGTTGGAACATGCCAAACAAATGTCTAAAGGGGGGGGCACAACCGCTGAGATTTGTGAGGACTCTTGAAATGTTTATGTCAGCAAATTCTCCTGGTCTCTAAACCACCACCCCCCACCCCCAAATAGCCATTCTGCTTCTGAGTGAGGAAGTAGGGATTCCTTAACTGCTTATTACCAAAGCCACTTCTGGGAACCATTCAAGAATATGAACATGCAGAACTTGGAAGGGAAAGTAGATGGAACTAATTATTGTTGCAGCTTGTCTGCAATCTGTCACCCATCCCCTTTGCATCTTCCAACCATTACACTTACTTGAAATGGGCTTGGACTGAATTGGCTGGCCTAAACAGTATCACAAAGCACTTTTGGGCCTATTTATTAATCACATTTCTCCTGTGAAAAAGCAACCATGTCTTGAAATAATAGCAATCTACAGGAGCTGCTTGAACTAGGGTTTTGTAGAAAATTTTAAAAGAACTTAATCCATCCACTCAGTCACAGTAGGAAACACAATGATAAGAATCGCAGGAAAGTGCTGAATGCATTTATAATCCGTTTCAAGAGAGTTGAAAGTCCAAGTTGACCGAAAGTCCTTGTTTTCTCTATTTTACATGTGCAAATTACACCAGGAGCTGCTCCATGGCAGGTTGGCTTTCATCATACCACCCTGTAATTAATTGTACAAGCGAAATACCTGGAGTTATTTCTGTGCCTACGCATAGCCCCTCTCAGAGTCTGCGCTTTCCCATGCTAGATCTCAGCATTAATACACCTTCCACAGAATCCCCAGGACAATCAATCATTCTTTGCCAGAGAAGTTGTTCCTCCCCTTGAGAATCCATCCAGTCAACTTCTTTGCCGTTACTGAAACCTGGAAATTGCAAAACATGGCAAAGGTCAGCACATTTGCCACCATCGGAGAAATATATTGATTTTTTAAATAAATAAATGCCCAATGTATTCTGTCCTATAACCTCTGAAATCTATGTTTCCTTTCATGTAGGGGAAAAACAAAACCCTAATCTATTAAAGAATGTGGTTAGATTAAGTCTAAAGGAAGAGAAGAGTAAAAAAACCAACAACCCCAAACTAGTTACTTTTAAAATAAATTTAATGGATATGAAAATGGAGCAGGTGCATTTTAAGGATGAAGTGCTCCATGTCTTGAATTCCCACTTTTTAAATTAATGGTAAAAACAACAAATGAGCTTTAAACAACGAATGAAATGTGTGCTTCACCTTCATGCCCCAAAGCACTGCAGCATTTAAAAAACTAGTATCATATTAAATTATACTTGGGGCCTGTAATAGAACCAGTAAGCCTGGTAGGATAAAGTCTTTAAGTCCACTTAAAGGTTGGAAGAGAAGGGCAGGCAGAGTTCTTGGGGAGGGGAAAGCTGACACACACTAGAAATGAAAACAACAAAAACCTGTTGATTCCTCCGTGCCCTTTTGACGTCTGTCCAAATAGTTCCCCACCCACCAAAAGGAGGCAAGAGACGTCGCCTGTCTAATCAAATCACTACTCTTACCTCCTCCACGACTCAGGCGAACGCCTCCTAGGAAGATATTACTGGCAAGGGACTCTTTGTCCCAGACAGTGAGTTCTACGCAGACGTTCTGTATATCTCTAGGATTCAAGCCACTAAAAGTGAAAGTATGGTTCCAGTGGGGGTTCACGGTCTTTTTTATTACTTGGGTTTTGTGCTTAGATGCCTTGTTGTTGTCAGGAAGCAGGTACCTAAGGGAGAGAAAAGAGTTAGACAGCAGTTAAGACGTTACGGGTTTGGTTTTCATGATACAAGCAATCTAAATGACAAGAGAGAATCACTACAGTGGTACCTCCAGTTACAAACTTAATTTGTTCTGGAGGTCGAACCCGATCGTAACATGAGGCACACTTTTGCTAATGGCGCCTCTCACTGCAGCGTTGCCAGTGTGCAACTTCCGCTTGTATCCCGGGGCAAAGTTTGCAAGCAGGAGCATCTACTTCCGGGTTAGCGGAGCTCGTAACCCGAAACGTTCACAAGGAGGGCGGTACGTAACACGAGGTTCCACTGTAATTTAAATGACCAGGTTTTAATGAGTGTAGGTTTAGGAGCTGGTTCCTGAGCATTCTTTTTTCCTCCTCCACCCCCATCCTCTTTCCCTTGTGTAGATATGAAGTCAGGACTTACCTTTGGGTAGTAGTCAACTAAGTTCTACTCAGAGTACAGTGGTACCTTGGTTTGCAACCGCTTTGGATTACAACCATTTTGGATTACAACCACATCAAACCCAGAAGTGTGTGTTGCTTTTTTTGGATTTTTTTTTTGGGGGGGAAGGCCCCATTGGCGAAAGCATGCCTTGGGTTACAACCTGTTTTGGTTTACAACCGGACCTTCAGAACAGATTATGGTTGTAAACCAAGGTACCACTGTAGATGCAATGAAACCAATGAATATGATTCAAGTTAGATCCGTTAGCTTCAATGGGTCTGCTCAGAATAAAAGTTAAATTCTACCCAGGGTATCTAGCCCAAGTGACAATAAAAAGGAAATTGTTAAATTGCTGAGCTTTTATCAAAAATATGCAACATTAATAAAACCATACTCATTAGTAGAGGTTTGGAAAGAAGTCAGTGCAATACAAGGGGATAAAACAGTGGGACATCAGCATCAGTAATTGGTAACTGAACAGGAAGCAAGGGTAAGAGCAAATGCAGAGTTCTCATATGATGTAAGCAGTGGGTTCCTCCAAATATCCATTTTGTACCCCATGTCATCCACTGCAAATGGAAGTATGACATCAGCCCCACCCTAAATTATTCAGAGCGTTAGTCACAATGGTGTTTCCCCAATGTATGATGTGACCACTCAATGATTTCTCTACGTAAAGTATTGAAAAGCAGCAGGAAGGACGTCAAGGAGAAAGACTTGTGTTTATTCCACACACAGACACACACAGAGAAATTAAAAGTATATTGTTGAATAAAAATGTCAGATTCTATGCAGAAACATCCAACATCCACAGACATGCTAAGGAGAGGAGGGGAAATACCCTTTCACAAACGTGTCAGAAGTGCCTCCTGACTTCACAGCTGTTAAGTTCTTGGCTTCCTTGATGACAACTTCTAATATGCCTCCTGGCGGCAGTTGTGGATTTGCCTTCTTTTCCTTCTTGGAGTTCTTCTTTCCTATATTAAAAATAAACCAATGGGGTAAAACCTCTTTACCCAGCTTAAAGAATGTGTGTATAAACACTTCAATATTTTAGATAACCCACTGCCATCCCAGATTAGAAACACTTATCCCTATGGCTCACCCAAACAACCATATTAGCCTGCCTAAGCAGAAAATAACTTGCACACCATGCATTCATATTTCTCATCTAAAAGTCTTACTTAACTCAATAACTTATCTCTCAGCATTACATACATCAAGACAAATCTTTGTTCATCCTTCCATCTCCTGCATTAGGTCTTAAATCTGAATAAAAAGACCTACGGACCCAAACATGCCTAGATAAATATGATGCAGTTTATCAAATAAACCAAGTAGCCATATTTAGCTTCTATTAAAGTAAATTAGCAGATGTCATTGACAAGGTAAATGTGTCTACAAGTGTGATATCTCACATTTAAAGGATTGATAATAAAGGGATGGACAAAGATAATCAAGAGCACTAGATCTCTGCCCTGACCAAACTGCATGACAGATTATTCTTCAATTAATAGGCCATAAACATTTATGAGGTGGTGGTGAACTGGAGCAAAACCAGGATATAATAATGTGGGTTGCACCTCTTGACTGCATGAATATAGAAGCAGATCATGTAAAAAAAAGAAAAAATGCATATTTTGCCCCTTTATAGAGAAGGTGATACCTGTCTCCTACAGACATGTTTAGCATGTGTCTGTAGTATTCTATGTACTGTACAATGAAAATACTAAGCCTCCTTAGCCAAGAAGAGCCAAAAATCAAATTGTAACAAAAGGCTGAGGAATTGACAGCTAACAATCAGTTACACTCGTTTAGGAAAGCTGACACACCCTACTTGCTCCCAAAGGTTTATTGTTGGGACTCAGTACTTCAGAAAATTAAAAACGTGTAGCTAGAAATTCCTTCAGAGATTGGCAAGTAATTGAACAGTAGGTAATTCCATATTCTACAGCCTAGCAGTTTTATGTCTGCACAAGATGACAAATTTCAAATCATCCAGAGAACGCTGGGTGCTCCCATCTATATTTACCTTGAATTTCTCCTAGGGGAAGTGTTAAATTCCTTTCAGGGGGGATGTACCGTAAGACAACTATCAACTCTCCTTTGTACTGAAGACCTGTATCAGCTACAACTTCCATCTGAAAAGGTGAAGCAAAACAGAAGTAATTGGAATCTTCCTTCCCTGTTTGTGCTACATGCGCGTGGTAAGCAGAAGAAAGTACATGCAAATGGAGGAAAGTAATACTTCCTGAACCTAATACAGAGCTGGTCAGATCTAAATAACCAGGGACCCATTAAGCTGCTGAGAGAAGGACAAATTGTTCTGGAAGAGCTGTAGAAAAGGTAGCTCATGAAATCTTCTGTGCTCAATCTTGCAGTGATAGCATGGTTCACATAGCTCCTTGCAACAACTGAACCTTACTAGATAGGCCTAAAGTTCATCTAAGTTGTCTCTGATTATGGCTAGTTCCATGCATGAAAAGTGTGTAAAACTGCACGCTGCAGAGAAAGTTGAGGAGGGGGTAGACTTCCCCACAATCTTTCATAATAAGGGCCTGAGGTCATTCAGTGAAGTTGAATGATTGAAGATTCAGGACAGACAAAAATGGAGTACTTCTTTACACAGCACATAATTAAACTATACCAGTGTGGTGTAGTGGTTAAGAGCGGTAGACTCCTAATCTGGGGAACCAGGTTCGCGTCTCCGCTCCTCCACAAGCAGCTGCTGGGTGACCTTGGGCCAGTCACACTTCTCTGAAGTCTCTCAGCCCCACTCACCTCACAGAGTGTTTGTTGTGGGGGAGGAAGGGAAAGGAGAATGTTAGCCGCTTTGAGACTCCTTAAAGGGAGTGAAAGGCGGGATATCAAATCCAAACTCTTCTTCTTCTTCTATACTGACCCTCTACTGGTACAGAGTGCAATGGTGGCCTCCAATTTGGCTATCTCAAGAGTTAGCCTTATCTTCCATGTCTATCAATCACTTAGCCATGAAGGCTACATTCCACCTCTAGGGTCAGAGTGCTATGGCACTTATGTCCTGCTTGTGGGCTTTTTGAGCACATCTGGTTGGCCACTGTAGGCAACAAGGTGCTGGTCTAGAGGGTCCTTTAATCTCACCCAACAATACTACTCTTATCTTCTTACAAAGTAGTAGATAAAGAGAATGAGCTTATATTGCAGATATTTCAGGTCCTTCATTTCCATGGCCTGCTGTTTGCAATAAATTGGTTTCCACTGAGGAGGTAAGCTTGAACTGTGATTCATAAAGCACCTTTTGTTGCTGCAAACTCACCTACGTGAAATCTAGAAACCATCTTCAGTTTAAGCCAATTGGCATTCCTCACCTTGGGCTGAAGCATGAACCATTCATCAGCTTGATGTTCAAAGTTCCAGGAGTCCAAGGGTATCTCCACTTCTCCTAGAAAGCTGTTATGCCCAAATCTGTCATAATGCCAGACAGAAAGCTGCAAGGTCCGAGTCTCAAGCTGTGTATGGCTGATGACATACTAAAGAGTGACAAGAAGCCAAAAGAAGATTACAGGAGTGTAACAGAAGCCAATTGGCTTAAACCAATTGCTAGGGCAGACCAAATCAATCAGAGGAGGCTCTTAATAGGACGAGATCTATAAAATGCAATTGTTCTTTTACAAGCTTTTTCTTTCTTGCTGCTGCCAGTTTGTATTATTTCTCGTATTATTTCATTATCAAACAGTAACCACCGCTGATGGAGCTTCTTAAAATACCCCTTTCAACTCCCCCCCCCCCATATAGCAATGAATGTAGATGCTGGAAACAATTAACCTTTCCCCTTTGTCCACTATTTAAAAAAGGAAGGAGAACTGACAGATACTACTGAACTCTCTAGAAATCTAGTTACTTTAACTTCTGCACTGGCTTCGCATTTTCATGGTTTCTTCAGATCATGAAACCAGATTCCCCCCCCCCCCCTTTAAACAAAAGTCTGAAGATATCAGAGGACACCAGGAGACTGCAGCAACCAAGAACAGGCATGATCTAGCAAAAAAATAATAAACCAGGAAGAGAAATATACTTATTCATGAAAGTATCACAAAGAAATATGCTAGGAAATTGAACTTCTGCTCTTAACTTCCATGCTAGGTTTTTGACTTAGCACTAATCCAAAACACCCATTGCAAATCTTGCAGGGAAAGAATCGAGAAACTTGTCCATATTTGACAGTGCACTGTCAGACATGTAAAAATATGACAGTATCATATTATTATTATTATTATAAGGTGGTATATAAATAATTTTATAAATAAATACATAAATAAGAAGAGAAATTCCCTTTCTAAAAGTTCCTCTACTCTTCTCACAAAACCCCTAAGGGAACTGTTTTAACTCAAAACAAAAACAATTTTCATTGCACATGATCATAAAGGGAACATGGAGATTTTCAGTGGCTCTCAGTTCTCACCTTCAGTGTTTCATTGAACTCAGGGTTAGTGCTATTGCTTTTAATTTTTGTCTTCCGTTTGCTTTGACGAGACTTGTCCGGCAATAAGTATGCTTTGACATAGCTGTAGATTGGGAAGTAAATCATTAACAGAATCCAGTAAATGCTATAATGCTACACACACTGACAAGAAACTCTTACGGCATGACTATAATTCCAAACCACAAGCCAAGTTGCTTGTGCTGCATGACAAAGGTCTGCATGTTTATTCACCCAGTCATGCATAACAATTTAGGCCTAGCTCTCACTGAGATAGTAAGTCTGTGTTCAGGCAGCAGTACTTCTGACTGAAAGTGATGGCTCACATGACTGAATACAAAATAAATCCTCCATGCATAAAATGAGCATCTCAAGAAGCGTTCTAGACTACTCTGCTCCCTGACATGCCAATTTTACATACGGATGGATATGTGGAATAACAAGCAGCCTCAAGAGTCCCCACTTGCAGTCTGAACAGTACAGCTCAGATACAGTTACATCCCACCCCACTCAGTACCAGTGCTTTTTTCTAAAAAAAATATGTTTAGGGGTACTCTCATTTTGACTGAAGAAAATCGCCAGGAAAGGAAATGAAGCCACCATCAGATTCACAAAATGCTTAGGGGTATGCGTACCCCTGTGTCCCCCCAGAAAAAAACACTGGTTAGTACTATGCCCTAAACTCCCAACTGATCTTAAATGCCATGAAAATTGCAAACAACTTCATCCTTTCTTCATATCCTGGCTAACCATAATTTAAACGAACCACAGCTCCCAAAAGTTGATTATTGTAGACAACTGCTAGCTGAAAAGCAGAAGCACATGTTTCTAAACTCCTCATGGATGTGAGGGAGGGCAGGAGTGCATGTACAACATTCACCACGGTTCATTCAGGTAGTGGGAAATTATGGCTTCCCAGTTCATATGAACTCAGCCGGAGCCTTGTCTCATTTTGACTGCAGATTTGAGAATGTTAGACTAGGAAAGACCACTGTTCTTCTCCAGTTTGCAGCTCACCTCCCCACCTCTTACATCAATCTCCCAGTATCAGTATATCAGATGCGCTGAGGTTTGGATAAGATAAAAGTGAGACTTCTGCTTTTCTCACCTTCTGCAAAACACTGAGAACCTGTGCAAGACTACTGGGTGCCCTCCTTGCCAGGTGGCCATCCTAAGCAACTGGCTATTATGTTTTCTTACATGCTGTCTCACAAGTAAATATGACTGAATCACAAGACTATGTAAAAGGTTCTTCTTTGCTTACGGATCTGTTTTCTGCTTCTTTTCATCTGCTATAGCCAAGTTCCTGCATTTTTTTACCAAGATGTTGAGGGCTCCTGTTTTATAGCTGTAGTTAATTTGGAGACAAATTTCACCACTGATCTTCACGTTGCCATAGTCCCCTGTTTCACTATACACACTTGTCATACTATTGATGCTGGTCTGAAAAAAGAGGTGAGAGAGAAATAGTCCATCAGGCTGAGTCACATCTTTAAAAGCCGTATCTTGAACGGTACTCATTCTGCAAAAATTGCTTCTCTCCTATATTCATGGAAGATCTGACTAAGAAGAACTAGAATAATCAAATTTGGCATCTTACTACAGAGTGACTTACATGATAAACAGCATTGTGCTCTACGTTCATAATGCATTTCAATATAGGAAATGTTTTTTCTTTCCAATATAACTGAGATTGTTGGGAAAACAGCTACTCAAGTGTTATTTGATACATATATAGCCTGTCTTTCCTTCAAGAACCTCAAAGTCGCTTACACAGTTCTTATAACTGCTCCCTTTTATCCTCACAACCATGAGGTGAGGTAGGTTAGGCTGAGGTTGTGGCCCAAGGTCACCCTGTGAGCTCATGGGTGAGTGGACAGCTCCTTAGTCCTCACTTTACTACACAAGAAGTTCAAAAGTGAATAAAACCAGTGGCCTCAGGGCCAGTTCAGATTTTTATTGCATGCAAATAGACCTGACCTGGCGCATGGGATCCTTCTGTGTTGATGCAAATTACTTGGAAGTGCCAGCGCTCACTGAAAAGTGCTGATTCAGCTGTTACCTCACCTATTTTGCTGCAAGTCTTAAGACCACTCAATAAGGAAAAACCAGCAAGCATATGAATTGGCATTCATGGAGTACTCAGTTCCAGGTCTTCAAGAACTGAGTTTATGTTTGTGATTTGAGCATAACAGGAGACAATAGCCAACTTCTTTCCACTCATATATTAATGCAATATGAAAGGTAAAAGGTAAAGTACTCCTGGACGGTTAAGTCCAGTCAAAGGCGACTCTGGGGTTGCACACTCAACTCGCTTTCAGGCCAAGGGAGCCGGCGTTTGTCCACAGACAGCTTTCCGGGTCATGTGACCAGCATGACTAAACCTCTTCTGGCACAACGGAACACCGTGACGGAAACCAGAGTGCATGGAAACACCATTTACCTTCCCGCCACAGCGATACCTATTTATCTACTTGGACCAGTATGCTTTCGAACTGCTAGGTTGGTAGTTATATTAATGCAATATGAAAGACTGAGTGCTCATTCTAGTTATGAGCAGCAGTTGAAACCTATTGAAAGATTCCCCATTTTAAAGGTGTTTTCCCCCAAAGTCTATTATTATTTCCGTCCCCCTCCCCCAGTATGCCCCCCTGCCCCCTGTCTTAAAATCCACTGAATATAGAAAACAAATATCAAATTTCTTTTTAATGTTATGATGTTATGCGACCACGCACATCATATGTGAGGGTAAGGGGATTTGTTTCTTTGAATTAATGAGGCAATTAGTATCAATTATCAAAAATATTTTTAGTTATTTAAGCTAACTGTCTATGAAAATGGAAAGAGCAGCACAAAACAAAAAGGAGACTTTTGAGTTTCTCAGAAAAATGAGGGAACTTACAGTGTCACCATCTGCTTCTGGAACATTTAAATAGGTCCATTTCCTGTCAGAACTTGAAGGAGAATTCTTTAAGAGAAAGAAAAAGGGGGAAAGGAGGCAGGGAAAGGGAGAGGGAAGAAAGAAAGGAAGAAAGAAAGAAAGAAAGAGGGAAATGTAGAAAGGGTGAAGAGCAAAGTGTTCAGTAGCTGCCAGAAGAATTCAGAAATGCAGGGATCAGCTTTAGAAAATGAAGACAGAGAAGTCCTATTCCAATATACCACAAATATGTAATGAAGAGCTATGTACAGAAAGAAAACTGCTGATACTTAAGTGAGCAAGTTATTTTTCTCCCATAACAATAAACCTTAGGGTATACTCTCATTACCTCTTACTCTGCATCCAGTGCACTCCCACTACTAGTTTTTGAGGCCACATTCACATGACATATTGATCCTGTAGTTCCTTGACAAATACTGGCTGTTCAAGGAGCTTTTTTTTAAAAAAGCTTCCATCTTACAAGAAAACTGGGTGCAAAGTAAGCAGTAATGAGAACGTACCCTGACAGCCGTCACACAGAAGAGCACAGCAGACTCAGGAATAGGAGTTTGGGGTGAGGGGGAAAGCTGCAGGAGGGGAGAAACCAAAAACACCACACATATCAGAGGAAGAGATCCCTGTTCTCTCTCTGATGTGAACAGCACTGTGCAAAGACAGCTTGAAACACAGCGGGGGGTGATGACCTCTCTGTGCTTCAAGCTGCTAATAGGAACTACTCTTAAACTATGATCAGAAAATGTAATTTTATTTCTCTCTTGCAGCACAAGACGAACACTTGGATAAAAAGGTTTACTTATCATGCGGGAGATGTCTATGGCAACCTATTTACAAATGAACAGCAATCAACATATTTTAGTCTTTTTTTAAAGCTGCTTAAAAAGGTAGAAATTACCTTAAGTGCAGTTAACATTGCTGCTGTTAAACCTAGGGGTGGGAAGCAACTTTTGCTTATTCTTTCCTCTCACCGCAGGCCCCCCACCCCCAGTGTCACCATGGAAAGGTGGGGGAGATCTTCTAGAACAGTGGTGGGAGTGGAGGCTGAGTTGGAAATCAGCAAACACAGCCAATGGGATCCCACCACTGGGGCTGTATACATTATTTCCCTACAAAGAATTCTGGGACATGTGGACAGATCTACATTTTTTAGCACCCCTAATAGAATACGATTCCCAGGATTCTTTGGGGAAAATAATGTGCGTGTACACAGCCCAGGTCAAAAGCATTCCCCGGATGAGTTGAGCACCACCATACGCAAAAGGCAAGTCTAGATCAAACCCATGTTATTTGCTGGATTTAAACAATAAATAAAGGATCAAGTGGCATGGTCAGCCTTCTATTTAAGTCAACACTTTTGACATTTTAATCCTAAATACAGCTTGCCTGATACCCAGAATCTTTTCTTGTAAGAGCGGCATGATTAGCAAAATACCCATGGGGCTTGGCTTCACCATCACAAAGAACTAGCCGCAGATTGCTGGTCATATTACAGCTATAGATGACTGGCAACAGTCATCCATTACGACACTAAGAGAAATCCACATTGGGCTCAAGGATGTCTCAGGATGTCAAAACTATTTATCTTCTGGGCTTCATTCAGACAACAGGCAGAAACTGGAGCACTGGCTTAAAGGGTGGCATACGCTAAACTGGAGATGTACTGGAGGTCAATTAACTAGGATCTTCCATGATTGAAATGAAAAATACTATCCGCCACACCCTGCAACTGGATAGAGCCTACCTGCAGCACCAGGGGAAGGGGTTAAATATTTTCCCTCACAACATTTTTGATAACTGTTCCCCTTAACCACAGGCAACTGCTGTTATTTTTCCTATTGGGAAAATACAAGTGCCTGTACGTTTGCCTGGGTAAAAAGCTTCTGTTTGTGGGAGGGGATTTTAAATCAGAAAAACAGTGCTGGGGAAAGGGTTAACACCTCCCTCTCTGAGACCATGGTCTTCATCAGATCCAACCCCTCCCCCCCAAAAAAAAAACTACTAAAGAAAAAGAAAAAAGCAACTCCTGATCATAGGTCCCTTACATCACATTTTGTTTGGCCTTTACTGTGAGCCAGATGAAGAAAAAATGTCAAAATGGGCCCGTGTATGATACCATTGCCCGGCATATGAAGTGATCTCATCTGACGTGCACACGGTTTTCAAACCTCCTCACTCAATGAAAGTTGCTGAAAAGTGTTCTTTGTCACTGCCACAACCTGGAGTACCAGGTGCAACTATAAGAATCCAAAAGTAGCCCAAAGCACTGAGGAGCACAGGCTGAATCTCAATTGATTATGGGAATCTTTCTCTCTCCAAATATACCAGAATGATACAGTTGTCAATATTTTTACAACTAATAATAACATAAAATGTATAACAACAACAACACACTGAGCAGCATACAGCATCAGCAAACCCCAGCTTTGAATAAACAGTACCCATCCTACTGTAACGTTGACTAAAAACTCCCTTTTTAAAATGTTGCTTTCAGTAGGCACCCTTAGTTCTTGCACTTCTCTATTCTTTAACTCAAAGAGACACAGGGGGGGTTTGATGCTTTTCCCAACTCCCTCTGCCGTGTGTGTATAGGCCCATTACTCAAGAACTCCTACTGTGTCTGTCTTGTCTTTCTGTGCCACGGCATACCAAATTGTACAAAGTCATTAGCAGAGGCATCATTAAACCAAAAACTCAAATTAGTGGAGCATAATACTATGGAAATAAAACCAAATGCACTAAGGATGCCATATACTGTATTTACAGGCAATAGAGCTCTAGCGCCCTCTCGACCTCTGTGGATATAGAAAAACTTGATACCCCCATCAGGAATGCCATTCCACACCTTCAGCCAAGAGGTTTCCACTGAGGTCTGTCTACCTTCTGTGACCCTCATCCACTGTTGATATGCAGGCCCCACATGACATAGAACTGTGACTGGATGCAATAAGAACTCTCTTCCCTGTAATCCACATCTCCAATTACCCCAATTTGTCTTATACCTGCTATGTCAATATAAACAGTTTATTCAGCAGAGTTTTATTTTTCCAGATATTCTGGATGTCTCCCAGGCCATTTACATCACTGGAATTGTATTGTTTTCCATTTTTTGTTGGAAGGTGTGCCAAACATGTTACACTTTGTATTAAAATGTATTAGCAATCTGAGCTCAGGAAATTAAATTACGTGCAAAGAAAAACAAAAGAACTTTGCAACACATATAAATTATGGAAATTATATAGATTTTCGTAATTTCGCTTATACATAGCATATTCCAATTTTGTTAATCAGGATGGGCAAAGATATCGAAGTTTCCCCCCTCCCGCAAGAAATAATATTCAGTCACCTGCCTGGCTTCTGAGACTTCATCAGAGAGCGCCCACAAATTTTTAAACTTATCCATGTTGTTTTCAAAACAATAACACAATAGCAGAAATTCTAATGAAGCTGAATTCACCACCAAATTTTGTTCTTCTATGGAACTATGACACACACACACCCTTGGCCTTATTATGCAAATCAATCTAGAAACCCACTTTTGTTTTATCTTGATTATATATTGTCACAAGGCTTGCAGAAATAAACATAACCACTTTTTGCAATAGTGGCTTTTTCTTCTTCAGGATGAATATATTATATACAGAGCTTAATCTCTTTCTACAAAAATATATGTGAGACTACAGTAATTCAACAAGTATATATCTATTATCTAAAACACATTTATCTTTGTAATTGGCTTCCCTGGCAACAGCTACTGGCTACATCCCTGCATACATCAACAGAGATATAATAAGTCATCTTTAAATAACTGCATTCTTCTCTCTCAAGCTGGGCTAGCTGCCCTGGTTCTGTCCACTGATAGAATTCCAAGTTTCATTTTACATGTTGGAGCCTTAAATCATTCATGCTTTCGATGCACAATCTAACCAACAGTTTAAATACCTCTCCAGTGAGTGGCTTTCCCCTCAAATTCTAGTCCAATTCCCATTCAGGGACATTTGGATTTGACACAACAGAGAAAGCTGAGCAGATTTTGGATTTAGGCCACAAATCATTATTGATTCGGACATAGTGTTGAGTTGTGGTTCCCACACACACACCGAAGAATGGTCGGCAGAGGAATAGAGGAAAGGAGAGTAAAACGAATGTATTGAACAGAGAAGAATGAATAGTATATAACATATATCAACCAAGTATATATGTCACAGTAAACCATAGTTTTAAACAAACCATGATTTTATGTGAATGAGTAAACACGGTGGTATGTGCTGCTCTAAAGTTCCTACAGCTCTTCCTCTGCTCCTTCTGTGCTGCAGATCAAACAAGTAAAAAATCTGGCTTGTTGGGTTATCCAAAGCTGGGCTCATGGTTTGTTTTCTGCCACACAAACCCAAGTTTGTTTTTGCTCATAGTTTGTTTGATGGAGACTGGGTTCAGACAACACAGCAAGCCAGACTCTGGTTAGTTTTGGCCGTGGTGCAGGAACAGAGGAAGAGCACTGTAGAAACTTTCGAGCAGCATGCACTCACATTCTACTTGTTCATATTAAACCATAGTTGGTTTTAAGCTATGATTTAAAGTGACACGTGAACTAGGCGATCAACACTACACTACAGGAAGAAATTGTACAAGGAAAATACATATAAATAGTAATGGAGAACTTACTGTTGATAATCCACTGATCATATTGGTATGTCTCTTTGAGTAGCCAGAGGCCACAATGTCATCAATATCTTCCTCTGTCTCATCCAGGTAACTCTAATGGAGAAAGAAAAAAAGTATAAGCATGTCCACCTGGCTCTGAAATGTGCTGTTCATCACATACAATGTCTGCAGAACTCATCTCTTGCTGATCCTCAATTGAATGGATATCACTGCAAGAGTAGCATTTGTCTTCTCTCTTATCCCTATCACCCTGTCCCTTCCAGAGAACAGTTCAGCCACAGGGACAGCTGAAACTTGTTCATGAGAAAGTTACAGAATTTCTAGCCTATTTGAGGTAAGATTCCTGTAGTGGGTGGCAGATTTAAACTATGTTTTGCAAATTGTTTAAAAAGTTCCACTAGCATGCTTTTATTCTGGGTCACAGAATGCCATTAGACAATTGCTGCTCTCATTAGCTTCACACTTCCTGATTCTGGATGCCATATCAGTCCAAATTCTCTATATATCATGTCAATCTACCTTCAATTAATATTCCTGCCCTTCCTGTAACTTAGGCTTTCCTGTTCAACAAGTTTATTACTTCTAATGACTACTATAACCACACTTCAGGTATCCAGCTGTTATCCAAAATGCTGAATTTGGGTCCAAACTGAATCTTGTGGCTAGTGCACACCCCCAACTTCTATCCTACCTTTCCAAGGTTGCTTACATCAGTCATGATTAGAGTATTACCTATGCCTCTGAATACCAGTTGTTGAGGATCATAAACACAAAAGTGCTGTTGTGCTCACGACCTGCTTATGGGCTTCCCGTGAGCACCTGGGATGGCCACTGTGAGAACAGGGGGCTGCATTAGGTAGGCTTTGGTCTGATCCAGCAGAGCTCTTATGTTCTTATTTCTGCTGCTACACATTTAGTCATAGCACGGAGTGTGATACAAGTGAACCATCAGATTCAGTTTAAACCTTTTTTTTATTTTTAGCCCTTGTAACATAAAACTGCATAGTTCTAAACTGTGGCATAATTTTAACTCACCAGCTCCTGGTCCAATGCTTCAGGTACAGATTTACTTCTTAAGCTTAAAGTATCCTCATTGCCTTCAGAGAAGGATACACTGAGATCTCTCTCTGATCTGCTGCGATCTGAAAAACAGAAGGGGAAGGAAAAAGCAGATTCTTTGAAAATTATACAATAAATTCTATTCCAATACCACCCTTGATTCCCCCACCCACCCACCCTGTTCATGGTATACAAACTACTCTGCAGCTCCCCACAAATGTCAATTTCCTCTCCTCACTCTATTCCAAAGCAAAAGAGAGAGAGTAAAAGGTAAGAACCAGAGCAGTGGGCTAGGAAAAGAATCCCTCTGGTACATTACAGCTGCTTCATTTCTCCTGTCTTCTGCAGAAGCCAAGCAAAGGAGAGAGAAAAATCAAGCTGCACACAACTGAATACCCACCATTCTGGCAACTTAGCCATTTTTTAAAAAAATATTAAAAAACGGCCATAAACCAAAGAAGAAATATGGTGAACTATAAGAGGCATAAATAAAAGTATAAAGTGAAATGCAGAGGCAGATGGATTGATCATTCTTCATATGGAAGCAGTGGCATCCTGGCAAGGATTACAGTTTGCTAATGAGAAATAAAACAATGGAAGTACCATTGTACAGAACATCTTTTGCCTGCAGATTCAGTCCTTGGGATCTCCAGTTAAAAGGAACAGGCAGCAGGTGACCTCTGCCTGAAGTGCCTCTGCCAGTCAGAAGAGACAATAGTGGGCTAGATGGATAAAATAGTCTAACCTGGAAATGGTTGCCTCTTAGGTTTTAAGCAAAAGTGTGTAGGGTTGGGTGAGGCTTATTCCAAATGAGAATAAATGGAAGGAAAAACAGGAAGGAGAAAACGGTAGCAATGAAGAATGCGTTAAAAAAAGAAAAAGCTTACCAGATGACAAAGATGTCCTAGAAACAGCTATAGAGGGTGTTCCAGATGCTTTCCTGCGATGCTTTTTCGCTAGATCTGCTGGTATACTTTCACTTGCAGGCAGAGCAGTGCCTTTTTCTAATCCAGGATCCTTCCCAAAGAGAAGAAACAGAGATATTCCATATACAATGCTATTTAAAAACAAAAACAAAAAAACAAATCTCTTTATGAAAAAGGCAAGTTCTTTAACACACTACAACAGTTCTGTTTGTTGGCAGTGCCAACAGCTTTATGCTAAACTTTATGCTAAAAATGCAAACTTCTCCTACTTTCCATCTGTTTGTTTGCTCTGTATCTGTGAAGTACAGTTAGGCCTGACACTGCCTAACCATACTAAGAATCCTGAAGAAATAATCTGATTTATTTGAGTGAGCTAATAAATACAAATAAATTTATGTGCCCCAGAAACATAACATATTGCAAACTATAAAAGTGGCAAAATATAATAATTAAATATAAAAATGAACACATTAAAGCAAAAACAAGACATTCTGTCAGCAACTGCCATATTTACCATTTTGCTATATATAATGTAAGCAGAGTTAAATATCAGCCTGTATGGAGGGTCTGCAGGATTTGAGCAGCCAAGAGAAAAAATGCCATCTGCAAAATATTTTTTGCAAATGTGCCCAGTTTCTCCTAAGCTTTTATTATGTCTGCTGCAAACATAATGTTTATGTAAACTGATGTCTTCACAACAGCCAGTGTTCCCATCCTGAAAAGCTGAACCAAATTAGTTTTGACCACTCATGGTTAGTAAATGAACAAAAGTTTAATCTTTAGATTTAGTGTCGGTTGTTGTCAAAACCTCCCCACAAATACAGATTCATTCAGTGAACTCAAGTGATTTTCCAAAAAAATCCAGAGGGTCAAACACGTCATAGCACTGCCCAGTCACATTGAAATGGGGGACACAGGATCCAATTTTCAAGGCAGGAATGTGTGAGTAAAAGGATCTGAACCCTCACAACAGGCAATTTTCTTCCTACTAGAATTTGAATACGAGAAGTGACTTGGTGAGAGAAAATTGGGGAAGAGGGTCTGCAGGGAGGTAAGCCACAGGACAAAAGCCACCAAGTCTCTCCCTGATTTATGTATTTTTTAACAAACAACAACACCACCTGAATGCTACCTTGCACCCCTGCATGATTGGATCAGTACTCTGTTTCAAAAGTCACTGAACTATCCTCATTGTACTGCATTTGGTTCTGGATAGCCTTAGGCAGGTCACCTTTTCTCACCTTTGTTTTCTTTTGCTGTGAATGGACTAATGTCCTAATTCACACTGGTCTTAAAAAACAACTAAGAAAAGAGAGGCTTCAGACATTACTAAAGCGGGGGCATGGCAGAAAGTGCTAATTGCTTGCATTATTTTCTGTATGTTTTTCTGTGTTGCCTGAACTTAAATTGGCACATCATCCTCCCAGGGGACTCCAACCAGCAAAGGTGAATGAATGAATACCTGCTGCCCAAATGAAGTCGGTAGTAGTGTGATCCCCACTGAGGCAGTTAACCTGTGCCAGTTCTGACTATGATGGAGAGCTCACATGCTTGAATACTCCTCCGTATGTAAGACACCGGCACACAGAAACTTAGCATGTCAGGGAGAAAGCTACCGTAGTTTAGATTCCTTCTCCCAAATATCTGGTTTTCTATGGGCAGGGAATTTCTGTATACATAAAGAGCCCTGACCAGCAAACATTCAGAAGGAGCATAGATTTCAGTTTTGCCTGAATGAAAACGCGACTCATGTTTCAACTGTCTCTTTTTTAAACCTCTTTGGAGGCAGTAAAGTCTAAAGAGAACAATTTGGGAATTAGTCAACTTACTCTGCCATAATCTACAGTCATGCTGCGTGTGCTCAGTGCTGGTGACCTTGGATGGACTGGAGTAGAAGAATTGCTTCGGTTTGCGGCACAAACTGCTCCTTTCAGCCCAGCAGGCAGTTCCTCCATATTGAGAGAACAGGTGCTCACCCTAAGGAAAGAGTGCCAAAAATCTATCCTCTTAGGACAGCTAATACTGCATCAGAATGGTACACTATTTCATAACATAAAGGGTGAGCTTCAGATCTTCTACAAAGAACTCAACTCTGAAATCAGAAGTGCACTCAAAGGCAATAATGTAAGTAGCATTCAGGAACTAGTTTGCACAAGGTAATTTCAGTTTACCATCTCTTGAGCTTCATCCCACATGCCTCTTAGCAGATCCAGTTAGGCCTTTCAGACATTATAAAGAACAAACCCACTGAAATTGCTACCCAGCCATGTAATGTTACCTGTCCCACCCCCATAAACTGAATTCGTCATTCATCACCTTTCTGAAACCGTTGTTCTTTGGCTTCTAGTCAGTATTTTTTTTTCCCAGAGAAGAAACACTCCAGGGCCAATTAAGCATCTAATCTTTAGTTTATAAAGGAGATAGTAGTTTCAGGCTTCACAAAATTGGCTCAGAGCATCTCTGTATTTAACAGAGTCGCACAATGACATTCCAATTATTTAGTTAAATATTGGAACTCATATATGCTCTGCCTTCCTGGAGGAAGATGTTTCTGTTTCTCTGCTGCTTTGCTGTTGTTTCTCTTCCGTTTCTATGGGTGGCTCTCACCCATAGAAAGAAATGTATTGTGCATGGGTAGGCAAACTAAGGCCTGGGGGCCAGATCTGGCCCAATCGCCTTCTAAATCCGGCCCGCAGACGGTCCGGGAATCAGCATGTTTTTACACGAGTAGAATGTGTGCTTTTATTTAAAATGCATATCTGGGTTATTTGTGGGGCATAGGAATTCGTTCATTCCCCTGCCCCCCGCAAAAAAAATATATAGTCCGGCACCTCACAAGGTCTGAGAGACAGTGGACTGGCCCCCTGCTGGAAAAGTTTGCTGATCCCTGGTATTGTGTATGTCACAAGTAGGGGAAAGTAAGTGGCCTCCTGCTATCTGTTCCCTTCTGTTTGGAGCAGAAGACCCCAGACGAAAGAGGCACTTGAACTTTTGCCCCCATCAGCTGTTTTTACAACTGTTGATTAGCTTTGTGTGTGTGGATCTGGAGTGGAGAAGAGGCCCACCGAAGAAGTGTTAAGCACCCTTGTCCTTCCTCTTTCATAGCTTCTCTGCTCCAAAAGCGTGCTCCATAATTGCTCTTCTTAGGGGGAAAGCAGCTATTGCATTTTCACTACACACACACACAATCTATCTGCAACATGTAGTTCTACTCTTTTGGACACTTGGAATTAGTTACAGCTGATAAACAGGCCTTCAATGGAACATGCCCATGGTGCAGCAGTCTGGCATGTTGGCCACATGGTGTTGCATGATGGTTCTGACATTGTTCACAGAATGCTCCATTCCACAGTTGCCATTCCACAGTTGCCATTCCACAGACATTTGAGATTTCACCACACTGTTCAGCTGCTCTAAATACCTCCATCTGTCTGCCCTGTCTGCTCAAGAGCAGCAGTGCTCCAATTTGCCTTATTTGTCTCAAGCTGTTGATTCCTGACCTGAACTGCATTCCAATGCTTCGCCAATTTGATTTTTGTGACATTTCAAAACACACACATCTCAGAACACTACTATCCTTCCATTCAATAATACTAAGGTTTGAGAAAGCCAGTATCTTTTCAAAATTCAGCAATGGGAATTTTAAATTTGGTATTCATCAAGGAATCCATCCTCATTTGCCAGAAAATTGAATAAAAAGCTGTATAATAGAATAACTTTACTTTTAAATGCAACTGACATTTTAACTTAAAAACACATCACTTCACTGTCTAAGCAACCTTTCTGCTGTTTTTTGTAATTCCATTCATATACTAGAAATGTCACCCAAATTACATTTTTGCTTGGCTGATTATGCCATATCACATTCTAATTTACTGCTGTGAACAACCATCAACTCCCCCACCTACCCCATAAAGACTTCTTAAGGAAGTAGTGAGATAGCAAACAGGATCATTTACAATGACAGCTTGTATTCTTTAGTGCCATGTTCTTCAAACTTGGGTCCCCAGATGTTGTTCTACTACAACTCCCATCATCCTTGGCTGCTGGCTGAGCTGGCTGGGGATGATGAGTGCAGCTGATTGACTACTAGGGCTCAGTACCACCTCCCCCTCTAACCACCAGCAAACAAAATTGACACAAGACCACACCTTGCTTTACAACTTGCCAGAAAAATGTGTGCATGTAGAAAATGAGCATCAGAGAACCTTAAGTCAGAGTGGTTTCAGCAAAAAGAAGAAGAAAGAAGGACTACAGTAATTTCAATATCTGTGTCAGTTTCTGAAGCCAGTGGAGAAATTAAGTTCGACCATACAAAGGTCATACCATTTCTCTTACCTATCAGCACTATTTATACTCTGGACATCAACATCTGAGCTGATGCTTCTTCCATCTTCTGCCTTCACAAGTGTGATTTCTCCTTTAGCCTTGAATAAAGCTCTGTTCAATAGAAAAGTCAAGGCAACCAGGGAGACATCAATCAAAATACAGGACCCATATAGCGATTATACATAAGTTTTCCTTTTTTTCTGTTTAAGATGGTCATGAGAACTGTACAGCATAGTATATTTTCATGTCTGCTTGTTGCATTATGTTCCACATCAAGATTCAAAAACAACAAGTTTAGATATTGTGACAAAGGTGTGTGTTTATGAAATAATGTATCTAAACTGTAGCACTATGCAATTTTCTGATACAATAGAGATAACATGAAAGACAAGTATTTTTTCTAAAGTATTGCAATTTTTCAAAAAGTATTGCATCTTTTAATATTTACACTCTACTGGGTTTGGCCTTTATCCCCAAAAGCAGAACCTCAGGGATTTGTGTGCTTCAACTGTACAAAACGAAGAAGGAACAGCAGTAATTATCCTGTGTCTTCCATTATGTTTTGGCTTTGAGAAGGGGCTGTAAGGGTTCCCATTCACTCATAAAAATATTTATTAACTACCAGGCCTGTTAAATATTTTCTAAGGCCTTTCCATTTTTATTTTTATTTTGCAATAAACACTACATGGTGCAACGAGACACTCACACACAACCTAAATTTGCACCGTCTGTTTCTTGTACCTGTGCCCCATTTGCTGTTGCACACATTTCTTAGCAGTAGCAGAAAAGAAGGCAAGTGGATGCAGTGTTGTCATTAGGACATGACTGGATCTTCAATATTTTAAGGACATAAGAAGAACCCTGCTGCATCAGGCTAAGGGCCTATCTAGTTCAGAATCCTGTCTCCCACAGTGACCAACCAAATGCCCCGGGAAGCCAAGAAGCAGGACACAGTTCCCTAGCAACCAGCATTCAGAGTTATGCTACCTCTGAACAAGGATCTGGCATACAGCCATCTTGAATCTCTCTAATTTCCTTTAAGCTAGAGGCCACCACTGTAGCTCATGGCAGTGTACCCCTCAAATTTACCACACACTGTGTGAAGAAGTACTTCCTTTGGGTGGTTATCAATTTCCTGTCAATTAGTTTCACGGACTAATCCCAAATTCTGTTATTTTGAGGGAGAGGGGGAAGCCCCTTTCACGATGCATAGCAAATACCACCTTGTGGTTCTAGTCAGGAAGATGGAAGAAACATTTTGTTTGAATGCCAAGAAAGTTATCTGAGGAAGCCACAAACACCTCACAAAAGGGAGCCCCTCCATAGGCTGCTTCAGAATCTCTTATCAAAGGAGAATCCAGTTAGGAACCACACATCCTTTAAATGTTTCAAATATAAATGAAGCAAACAACAAATCCTTGCTGGAAGAAAAAGGTCTCAATCATTGGGTCCAAATGATGGAATGCTCTCGAGTGAATCTAAACAGAAATCCACTAAACAGAAATCCACTTCAGCATTCAGATTATAAACTGTTGCCTTACCCAATATTTCTGTGCCCACTGAAGACTGACTTTGCCCCACTTGAAAAGGAAGCAAGCACATCTTGCTTTGAAGTCTCCTCTGAACTCTCTGGAGACTGATCTTTGACTTTTCCTCCTGTAGCTTCAGAGGAAGGATCTTAAAAAGAAAAAAAGCTCTTTAAAAATAATAAAGGGGATCAAAAGCAAGTTTCCCAGTGATTTAACAAGAATTTTAAACCAGCTGTCCAAAGTGAAACCATTCATTTGAACATGGTCTCCAAGTACAGAAGCATCCACAACTGAAGAACGTAAGAGCATATGGATAAGGCCAACGGCCCGTAAGTCCAGAGTTTTGTTCTCGCTCACTGACTACTTCCCTATCTTCTAATCTTTTTTTATCTCACCGCTGTGTTTCAAACAAAGTGCCTAATGCAGCTAACATGAGCAAATAACGAGAGGGGTGGTAGAAATGACACAACAAGAAGAAAAACACAAACAGTAATAGCAGATTTTTTGAAAAAATTTTTGACATGAACAAGAGAAGCAGGCACTTAAAAGAAGAAGCAGACACTGGTCACAGAATCATAAGGTTAGAAGGTACTTCAGAGGTCGTCCAGTTCGACCTCCTGCTAATGTAGATGCTACCACATCTCTGATAGGTAGTAAGTATGCCTTAAAGGTTTTCTTAGACTCAAGCAGTATATACAGTTTGTTTAATAAATAACTCCTACTAGGGGAATTCAATATACCCTAGTAAACACATTACTAAGATTTTAGACATTCAAAAGATAAAAAGCATTACTCTCATTACAAAGCTGAACACACACACACCCACACACACCCCTTGCAACAACTGTGTTTTCTATAGAACAGAACTACAAGAATTGCAACTGTTCAGACTACAGTGTATTACACACCTAGCAGGGCCACCAGCATGCATTATGACAATCCCATCTTGCATCATTCATAATGTATGCATGCACAATTAGCTGCATTACATCTCTATTCCAGCTTCCACCAACCTAGTGCCCTCCAGCTGTCTAGTTGTAGTTCAAAAAAGCTGGGAAATAACAGGCAAGTGAAAGCTGTCCAATGGCATGATCATCCTCCTTACAGTATTATACAGTGTATAAAGTTCAGTGTATAAAGGAAAGCTGTTGAGAACTCTGAGTCTGAATACTATAATGAGCTGGAGGCAATATTCTCTGCTACAAGAGGAAATCCTGTGCTTGCACATGGAACTCATGTGCACAGGCATGAACAGGAAAAACCCCTGGAAGTGTGGCATATGATGAGAGGGTCTATACTTTGATGTAAGCCATGGCAGCAATCCTGAGCCCAGATGCACACAACTCACTGGTTTCAGTAGGACAGGATTGTGGCATATAAATATTTTTGACTGAGTAGTGTAGGAGTCTTTTATGTTCTGGTGCTGCTAAAACAAAGTAGGTGTGGGCCAGAGTAGTCTCTTGGATAAGGGACCAAGGGGTTTCCATTGTATTTAAAAAAGTTTCAATACTAAAAAGGTGTCAGCAAGCGCCAGCTCATTATGCAGCACTAAGACTATAACCATCAATTAGGGGAACAACAAGGCTTTAGCTGTACATAGGAAGAACAAACACATTTCCCTCCTGTTATTTTTACCTGGGGCTTTGCGTTGGATAGACCTTCTAACGACATCACTTCCAAGGAGGGTGGATTGTTTGAAGCGCTTTGCTCTCTCTTCGAAAAACCATTCACCTGTAACTATCCTAAGCTGCCTGAATGAGAAGAGAAAGGAAAATGGCACAATCTGTTCCAATCAATGTAAACAAGTACTCCGATTAACTCCATCCACCCAAGAAATATACATTGCTATAGAAAACATTAGCAGAAAATTAAATAAGGAGCTGGACCTACATGATAAGGTCAGACAAGGGTAACATCTCAAAGTATATTTAGCCGAACATTTATGTTTCACCCTTAGAAATCTATTGGCTAGAAAACAGGCAGAGGAACCAGAATTAGAGCTCATATTTAATCTCCTTTTAATAATGTATACACATTTCCACAACATGTGATCCCTTATAGATAAATGATGAACTAAAAAAGAAGAAGGAAAAGCACAAAAAGAGCCAAGTTAACAAAACGCAAACCTAAGAGAACGGTTCAGTTTTATATAGGCTAGGCATCTAGGTGTTAAGTTCCAGCCAAGCAAAATTTTAAAGGCTCATTCTCTGGCTGTTGCCAATAAGGATTTGTATGGCATTTTTGTTCACAGTCTTTTCCATGCCTCTTCTTCAGTTTCTAAGTCCCAATTCAGTTCCCACCACCTTCTCAATTTTGGTAGGACAGAATTAAACCTCCATGAAGATTTATACAAATATGACATTAGACCTTGCCACAGCCACCACTGTGCTTGTCTTCTTCCTCTAGGCCCAATCCACACAACCTCCCAGAAGGCATGGGCAAGGCAATTTGGAGGATGCTGCAATCTTCTGACTCTAGTCATTGTTTGCATGCTCAGAGAGGACAAGTGAACATGATTTATCAGCAAGGACAAGTCGCAGTGGCAGGGCTGGAAGTGGAGTCCCTACATGTGTGGGGGCCTCAGCAGTTGCCCAATGATACAATCTCTAACACCAATTCTGTCTGGCAGGGAGCGTGGTTGCTCAGTTCCAGGATTGAATGATATTAGTCACAGGTACTGCATTAATTTAAAACAAAAGATGTACACAAATAGGTTCAAAAGTCATGGGTATTGCCCTGCCTAGGGAAGGTTAAGCTAACAGAGAATGAAAACAAGCCCTTTGATATCAAGATAGACACAGGTAGAATACGAGAAGCTACGGTGTTCAGAAAACTGTTCTTACTACCCTTTGAACGTTTCCATTTCCTTCTGCTTACTTTTATTCTGCAAAGAAACCTTTTCAGTTGAACCACAGAGCAGTGTTCCGAAACTTCAATTCCCTTTGATAACCAATGTTTAGACACCTGAGTAAAGTTGCTAACAAACGATCTTATCAAAACTATTAATCTCCAGGATGTTGATTGTCCTGGGAATGTAGCAGCCTTTGTAGTCCAACCATAACAGACTAGCAGCCAGGCGATCAGGTGTGCTCAGGTTTCATTCTGGATACGAGGCATTTTCAGGTATAACTGCTGCCCGTTCTGCACAAGCAAATGCCAAGCAAACTGTTCTATTAGGCAGCTTCCATGACACCTTGGCAAATGTTGTCAGGATGGAGCTTTTGCTTCAGGGTACAGTCAGTGCCTTATTCTGAACTATGTAAGGCACAGAAACGCAAACCTTTTAAAAAGCAGTCCTCATTTCACAACTCCTATACAGCTTTTCAAGGTACCTCTTCAGCTGAAAACCTGCTTTTCTTTTGTTTTTCCTCCAAGAGAGCACAATCCCACCCAGAATGGGTTCAACATACACAAAACTAGAAGAGGTTTGTAGTTTCAAGGTATGCTCAGGTCCATCACTCTTAGTAAGGGCCCAAGCTATAATTCATTCACCAGCTGTAGACACTACTGAACAAAGATAGTTCCATTCCCCAGTGCTGCCCCGAGGAGCAAAAATAAAGTCTCTTTATCCTTTGAAAAGGGACTCGGTGCCCTTACTAGAGAGTCTTATATAGGAAGAATAAAGGAGCACTTCATCTCATTTCCTGAAACTTCTATGAGATCTAATAATGGTACTGCACCAGAGGGAGAAGGGGACCTTTTGCAAAGGTGTCATCACTCCTTCCCTCTGCTTATGATATCAACAGAAACCTCTTTGCTTTCATGGATTGACCAAGAGGCTGAAACCTCTGCTCTCATGTGGTGCTCAACTGTGCTATCTATATTATTCTTTGATTAATAACTTGCAGAATCCAGGATGTCCATGAACATCATAACAACTTAACACTGCAAAGAGAGAGAAATGTTTGAGCTGTGAAAACTAGAATTACACAATCTATATAGCTGCATTCTGAATCATCATTGCTCCATTCCAATCTACTGCCTAAAACCATATTTATGTCTTGCAGTCTTATTGAATGTGGCAACTGTCTGGTATAATTAGCACTCTCCACCAAATAGAGAGAGGCATTCGACTAGATTAGAACCCAAATTTTAATTTGTTTGCAAGCACATAAACCTCCGCCCACATCTTAGGCTGCTCCTCTATAATGATGGCAACTCAGGCTGACTGTTCCACTCACTGTCTTCTGTTGGTCTAGAAAATTTACTCAACTTGCTAAAACTGTAGAATAAATGCAAATGTTGAGGTACTCTAACTTCAGTAATAATGTGAATGTATTAGATATGAAACACTTAGCGGTCACCTGTCCTATCCACTTACAATTGCTTTGTGCCAACTAAATGACAGCAGACCTCTGTGTGTTTTAATACTGGAGCTGCCCAATCATGTACACGCAGAAGGTTTATACTGAGCGCCAAAGGGCTCTCAAAGACAGACCTTTGCAAGGTTACCTCCCTACAGTCTCTCCCTCAAATGAACTGGAAAAAATACTGTGGCATTCGGGGGTGGGGAGGCTGCAGGGATATCCAAGGCTTTTTAACTGGATCCTCTAATTTCTATGTAATTGTGATAAATCTGGACTTAGAATTCACCGATCTACCGCCACCACCACACCGAACTAGATGTGTGTTCATCACTCCTGAGTGCTGAGAAACTTACAACTTTCTCAATGACGAGAACAGTGATGAAAGACACCTATACCTGAGATATGATTGGCTTATAAATTGGGAAAAGGCCATAGCCTGAGAAACTGCTTTACATGTAGAAAGCCTCAAATTTAACCCAATCATCTGTCTGAAATCCTGGAGAGCCACTGTCTGTCAGTGTAGACAACACTGAGCTAGATGGATCCATGGTTTGATTCAGTGTGAGGTCACTTCCCATGTTCCCCCTGCAGTGCATTGCCAAGGAGAGTGTTACATATACTTTAGAACCCACTCAGTTCATACAGAGGAGCGGTAAAGGTCCAATTTGGTCCCTAGAATATGCTGCAGATCTTTGGCAAAGTGCTGAGATTCTGATAGTTAGGAGTTCCTCAGCAATACAGAAAATGTTCTTCTAAAGTTTGAAACTTACATTTGAAAACTACTGTCGCTGAATGCAGGACACTTCATGAATAGAGTTTTAAGAGCGTATACCTATACAACAACAACAACAACAATCTTTATTACGGTCCAGAGACCAACAAAACATTACAAATCAATACAGAGTTCATACAGCCTACCTCCAGGTTAATCAAGCACTTTGTTTGGAATATAGGGCTCATTTGTTCTTGCAACCACCGATAAAAACTTTGCCACTGCCAACGTTCTAGCTTTTGTCCGGTCTTCCAGTAGGAACCTGACATAGTGAGCCTCTGACTTTCCCGGGAAAGGCACCAGCAAGGGTAGTATCAGTTCAGCCCTGGCCTGCTCATACTTCGCACAATGTAACAAAATATGATTTATGGAATCGATGTCTTGAGCACACGAGCAAAGTCTGTCCTGGTAGGGAACTCCTCTCAACCTACCATCCAGCACTGCAGAGGGGAAGACATTCAGTCTGGCCTTGGTGAAAAGCCTTCGATAGTTAGGTACTGTCAGGTTTTTGATGTAAGATGTTAACTCAAAGACATACCCATATTGAACTCCTGCTGCCAGTGGACTACAGACTGTGTGTGACCGAGATCGCAAGTCACTGTGTGCATTGTCCCATAATCTTTGCTTTAAAACCTTTTGGGCGCCTTCATAGCCCAGGTAATACAGTTGGGGGGGAGACAGACCAATAGAGGTGGCTTTTTTAGCCATGGTTTTCTGCCATTTGCTGACAAATTCCTCATTGGTCAAATGTTGGTACAGACCCTTCCCTAGATTAAACACTGAAATCCTGAGCCAATGTCTTAGGGCAGCCCACCACGCTCTAGCTGAAATTGGGCATTCACCAGCTTCCAACAGAAGTACGGAGTTGGGGACGCAGTTAGGTACCTGCAGCAGAGATCGTATAAATTTTGCCTGAAAGCCGTCTAGCTTTGGCAGGTCCCCATTATGCCAGACATTTGCTGCATACAGGAGTCGCTTCTTGGCCTTTTGGCTAAGATCAAGTGTAGTATACCTATACAACTCCCACATAAGCGGTTTAATTGCAGCTGTGTTTAAGTCTTTATGCTACATTTCACAATCGCCATGCAACTCAGTTAACTTAAAAACAAAACCCTGTGCTTTGCCCTTCACCAGCTAAAATGAAATTATGTGCTGGAAGTGGGAAAGCATTCTAGAAAGACAAGTGCTTATTTTAAATTTTTCATGCATGCAAAGTACAATGGAGACCTGTTCCTTAAGAAAAACTCAGTATTTTCTCCTTCATCTTTCCCTCTTCTGTTAAAAGATGCTTGGGATTCTCCCCACCCCAAACCCATTATTTTGCATTTAATTCCCAGCCTACATTGCTTAGTAAAGTGCTTTGTGATATAATTTTACTGCTGCATGCTCTGAAATTCAGGGAGCTCTTTATTCTCAAGAGCTGCCTAACAAGCAGCTCAATTTGTTCATCACACTCATGTAATTTGTGCTGAATTTGCTTTGACCTTTTTTCGTGGTCCTGGGCAGCCATTATGCTCTTCTACAAGAGCTACCTCCCTGATTGCTACCATGGCCTACAGCAGGGCCACAATGCCCTTAAAAATGCTAGTTTCCGCAAGCCAATGTTTACCAACAATCCTCTCTTCATCTTTCCATGGTGACATAAGGCACTTCCACATGCAAACTATTAAGGAAGCACAAGCTAACCTTTAAAGCAATAATAAGGACCCGGGAAACAAAGACTCACTGCTTCCCCTTGGAGCCATCACAATCTCTCAGTCTAACCTACCCCATGAGTTGTTGTGAGGATAAAATGAGTATGGGGAGGGCCATGTACAACACCTTGAGTTCCTTGGAAGGAAGGTGGGATTTAAATGTAATAAAAAGCAATAAATAAATAAAACACCTCCTTTTATTAAGTATGCATGATGACATCATTGGATAGCACAGCAGACAGCAAATATCCCTAACTGGTAAAAGGATGTCACTAACTAAAGCATCTGTGAGACACATCAGCACTATTCTGAGCTGTAGAAGTAGAAATCTTGCACAGGAGCCCAGAGTGCTGGTTAGCAAGTTATGTTACATGTACCTATGGGTAATTGTAGGTGGGGCCAAGATAATCTACATATACATAATTGTATATTTTATCTTTATGAACGCTGTTTTTATTGTGTTATGTGAGCTGATCTTTGACCGTAATAAATTATCAGGCAGTGGGCCCTTAACCTCATTGCTGGAGGCCTTCTCCAGGCACCCCAACCTGTGGGAAAATGATTGCTTGTACATGAGAGCATGAGCAAAGTTTTTATTGTTACAGGGTGATCTCATAGCTAGAAGCATCCTTGGAGCATGAATAGCGCGTGAACAGCTCGTGCTGTCCCATATTATTGGCTAACGTAGTATGGTCTGATCGCTCGCATGGTCTAGTACCAAGGTCTTTATCTGCTGGCTAGAACAAATTGCTTGACTTGTATTTTTTTGTATCTTTCTATTTCACACAATAAAAGCTGTGCTGCATTAGCCCTAGGAGCAGCCATTAGCCCTAGGAGCGGCCATAATTCGGAACCTATCTTGGAGTGAGACTGATTTTCCTCTGAATGCCGAGCTGCAACTCGACACCCAACCTTCAGAGGTGAAGAAGGTGGCAACCAGGAAGGGGGCCCTCTTGGCTATAACTCCTTGTCTAGGGAGGCTGCCATGGCACAAAATCTTACGCCTTGTTGGTACTAGCTGAATACCTTTCAAAGAAATAAAATATAAATTGCTATCTATGAATATTTGACTAAATAAATACTTTTACCAGGCCTTTAAATTTTTTTGTTGTTTTTAGGAATGCAAACAACCATGGTTACTTTAATGCTTTTACTGTCTATATCTTTAATTTATTACTTATGAGGCACTTCACCTTAACATGTATTAGAAACAAGAGTACCACATGAAATAGATAAATACATACATTTTATGTGTTTATTTTTCTGTTAGATGTCCTAGAAGATGCAATATCCCAGGGCAGAATAAGCACTTTAAAATAAAATAAATAGGTACTAGCTTTAATGGCACTAGCTCTGGAGAAAATCAAGGAATGTAATCCCCGTGACGGGGTGAGCTCCTGTTGCTCGGTCCCTGCTCCTGCCAACCTAGCAGTTCGAAAGCATGTCAAAATGCAAGTAGATAAATAGGTACCGCACGAGCGGGAAGGTAAACGGCGTTTCCGTGGGCTGCTCTGGTTCACCAGAAGCGGCTTAGTCATGCTGGCCACATGCCCCGGAAGCTGTACACCGGCTCCCTCGGCCAGAAAAGCGAGATGAGCGCTGCAACCCCAGAGTCGGTCACGACTGGACCTAATGGTCAAGGGTCCCTTTACCTTTTTAACTGTTGCCTTAAATTCACTTCCTGTTGAAAAGGTCTCAGCATTTGTATTGCTGATAAGAGACTTAGATCAGGACATGGCGAAACACTTCAAGACCTTGCCGCAGTTAAGTTTTGAAATTATTTTTTATAACATTTGAGCTGTGGAAGCTATATGTAAGTATGACGTTCTCCTTAGCAGAGTGGCAGAATAAGTCCAGTGCACAGAACAAACATACACACTACACTTTAGTGCAGGGGTGGGGAACTCCCATCAGCCCCAGTCAACATGGTCAGTGACAATGGGAATTAAAATCCAGAAACATCTGAAACAACAACAATAGTTGGTGGGTTCAAGTGAAGATACTAGCAGGAGACTACCCTCATACTAGCAGGAGACAACCCTCATTCAGCAGGAGACGCTTTAAGAGTCTCTCTAGCTCAAATTAAGATCAAACATGCCTTTATCAGCCCAGCCCCTCCATCACCTGGATGTTCATACTGCTTGTCAAAGGCATCGTAACTGAAGATCAGAAAATGTGAGTTGACATCCAAGTGTGTCCAAGAACAAAACTTACGCAATCTTATCGCACACTGTGCATTTCCAGTTGCCACCAATTCCCACAATACGACATTTGTTGCAAACTCTGAGTCCGCATGCTTGGCAGAGATCCCCTCTATCAAAGATTAAGCCCAAATTCTTTCGACACCGAATGCAGACCCTGCTGTCGTCTTCCTGGTACCGCCGTCCACCTTTCTTTTTGGCTTCCAGTAACTCATTCTTCAGTTTTCTGGCAAGAAACACAACAAACTTAAGTTAAGAAAAGTGGCTTGAAGTATTCATTGCTTTATAAAAACCTAAATTCTAGTGGCTTGTATATGTGACAGAGCCATCAAAATAATTTTTGATTACAACTTTGCAATTATTTAGGGCACTGCTTTCCAAACTTTTCATGTTGGTGATACAATTTTTAGATATGCATCATTTCGCAACACAGTAATATAGTTTTACTAGCAAACCAGAGGTTAAACTAACCCCTTTCCGGTCCTGGGAGGAGTACGGGGAACATTTGCACAACACATCTACAAACTGCAGCCGACACAGTAACATGTCACAACACAGAGTTTGGAAAGCTCTGGTTTAGGAGTTTTGTTGACAGAGGAATTATTGCTGTTACTGATTTTATATTTTTGTATGTTTATTTTAGATCTTCTTATGATTTATGTGGAAATTGTTTAATTTTGTTGTATACTTTTTGATATTTTATTTATTGTTTAGGACTACTTTCGTTACGTTTGCAATTATGTAATTTTTTCATGTTGTAAGCTGCCTTGAGCACGATGTATGTATGTATGTACTTTGCTCAGGACTAGACCAAAACATTGTGCGGCTTGAGGTGAAATACAAAACGGTACCCTCCGTTCTATATACGTAAGTAGAACAGACTCGCAGTTGAATCTTACTTCAGCACTAGCAATGTGAACAGCATCCAGGCAAACTTAGAGGGTTAATTGCTTCAGCATAGCCTTGCCACCACTCCCCGGGGCCCTACAACATAAGTCACCTGAGGCAGAAGCCTCACTCTGCCTAATGCTCTTAATCTACTTTTTAAAATATCAAATCTACTAAAACAATTTCTGGCTGAAGCAGAAGCAAATTATCCATAAAAAGGTAAAGGTACCCCTGCCTGTTCGGGCCAGTCTTGCCAGACTCTAGGGTTGTGCGCTCATCTCACTCTATAGGCCGGGAGCCAGCGCTGTCCGCAGACACTTCCGGGTCACGTGGCCAGCGTGACAAGCTGCATCTGGCGAGCCAGTGCAGCACACGGAATGCCGTTTACCTTCCCGCTGGTAAGTGGTCCCTATTTATCTACTTGCACCCGGAGGTGCTTTCGAACTGCTAGGTTGGCAGGCGCTGGGACCGAACGATGGGCGCGCACCCCGCCGCGGGGATTTGAACCACCGACCATGCGATCGGCAAGTCCTAGGCGCTGAGGTTTTACCCACAGCGCCACCCGCGTCCCTAAATTATCCATAGAACATACATAAAATGACTCTGAAACACAAGCAGTTTTCACACTCAGTTATGCAGAGATAAATGTCCTACCTTCTCCATCCTTTGGGTGCAATGATACATTGGGAGAAAATAATAACCTTACTCTCTAGCATGGATACTAGGCTGGGATTATTAATTCACTTTTATCAGTGTCTGCAAGATTCAGTACCTAACCTCGGGCAGTTTCTTATCTCTTGGACTCTGTTCCTAAGATGTAATGATCACAGGATTTTTGTGAGATAAAGATGACTGTTCAATCAATCAATCGATCTCCTTTATTGGCATGAAAAGTACATCATATACATGGATCAGAACACAACACAATTAATGAACCATAGTAGGAGATACTTTAGGATAAAACTGTCCAAACATCATGAGGTGCGAAGATGGCTCTAGGACCTATGGTGACGTGATTTCATAGCGTCACTCAAAAATCTTGACATTCTCTACAACTTCCAAGTTGGTGGCCAACTTGGCCTCCTGTGGAAGAGAGTTCTGTAGTTAACTATCCACTGCTTCTAGCCTGTGGGGAATAAAAGCTCTGAAAAGTGATTTGATGGGACCACAATATGGAAGAGGGGAAGGTTTAACCTTCCATCCCTTGTGCTGCAGTCCGAGTTCTGTTTCTCCCTTGTCTCTGGCTGCAGACTTAACCACACACACTTTAACAATCTGGTGAAAAGGAAAAGAAGAAAATTAAAGGACAAAGGCTAAAGATAATCCCAAAATGATAACAATCTATCTGGCACTAGGGGAGAAAGGGCATGTTATGAACTATTAAATTAAGTCAGGGTATAAAACAAAAGCTCTAGGTGATGAAATATCAGTGCTCATTAAGAACATGCTGGCCTCGTTTTAATCCAAGCCTTTTGTCATATTTCTGAAATTAAATGCAATACATTATATTAAGCTCTTCATTACTAAAGCAACAGATTATTAATGAACATTTTTGTGTGTGTACTTAAGAAAATGAAATGAACAGTCAGCCCTTACAGAGCTGCTCAGCATATAACTGTAGGGCACAATTTATGCTACTATGGTCCCAGTCCCTGCAGTGTAGAGACTGCAATTCCAGTCCTCAAAAGACAGTTTTATTTTCATAAAATAATGAATGTTCTACTGCATCCCTTTATTCAGCAATCATCACAATCCACTGGAGCTAAGGGAAGCATCTACTGCTGAATAGGAAGGGCATTTAAATATGCACTATATTATCCTGTGATCTAGGACTTCACCAAAATTTGTGCTTACTTTACATTTTTATTTATGTTGCTCATTATTTGCCAGAACATGTTGCACAGATAACAGTAAAGCCTTTCTGAACATCATGTGCCTCTTGTAAGGGGGTTAAGTCCACATGTGAAGGCAGGACATGACTGATGGGAAGCTCAGTCAAAGGCAATTTGTTCTCTGGCAGCATAGCAGTGGTCCCACCAACACATACTAAGCATGATGCAAATACATCATGTATATACAACATGGCTGGAAAATGTGCCATAAATTGATTGCCCTAAAGTGAAAGAAAAGGGACGCGGGTGGCGCTGTGGGTTAAACCACAGAGCCTAGGACTTGCCGATCAGAAGGTCGGCGGTTCGAATCCCCGCAACGGGGTGAGCTCCCGTTGCTCGGTCCCTGCTCCTGCCAACCTAGCAGTTTGAAAGCACGTCAAAGTGCAAGTAGATAAATAGGTACTGCTCCGTCGGGAAGGTAAACGGCGTTTCCGTGCGCTGCTCTGGTTCGCCAGAAGCGGCTTAGTCATGCTGGCCACATGACCCGGAAGCTGTACGCCGGCTCCCTCGGCCAATAAAGCGAGATGAGCGCCACAACCCCAGAGTCGGCCACGACTGGACCTAATGGTCAGGGGTCCCTTTACCTTTAAAGTGAAAGAAAGAGCTCTGCTCAGTTTTGCTCAATGTGTCAATGCATGCTGCATTAATGCATGTTTGGTATGGGTCTTCAGCCTGCTTATTATTATTATTATTATTATTATTAGGCTTTAGCTTTGCCAACTTTCCTCAACGCAATTATTCAAAGCTTGCAAAGCTGCAGTAGATCAAAGAGCAAAGTAATTTCTGACTCACAAAACACTTGAAATGAGAAATACTGTATTACATGCATTTTTCTCTTCTAGAGATTGGATAGCCCAAATGATCAAAATGATTATCTGCTATAAAAATTCATGACACTTGCTTCAGAAGGATAAGAGTGCAACTCTGCTAGGATAATAATAGAATAATTCTTATTCTGATGTTCTCCACACTCATTTGTACAAGTTTCTGCCTGGATCAATCCTTTGCCATTATTTTGATTCTACCAAATCTGGCAGACCAGCATTACGAAAGGAAGGAGATTTTTACTAAACATCAAGAAGAACTTTCTAATGGTAGGAGCTGTTTGACAGTAGAACAGACTCCCTCAGAAGGCTGTGGACTCTCCTTTATTGGAGGTTTTTAAGCAGAGGTTGGACGGCCATCTGTCATGGATGTCCAGAATCCAGATACCTTTGAGCACCATGTGCTGGAAACTAACAGGGGAATGGTCATAACCTTCACAGACTGCTCATGAACAACATTATTTTTGAAGGTCCTCTGAATTTTAGGAGAGGTTTGATGGGTGCCATGGGCAGGGAGACTTCATGTAATCACAAGTAAGACTTAATATGTCCCACAGCATGTAGCTTTGCAAATAGCACTTTGGATACAAACTTAAGAAATAAAGCCTGGAAATCAGGCAGGTTTTAATGACAAAAGGTTGACAATTTGGGAACTGTCTGTCAGCCTGCAAAGAGTTATGACAGAAAACCTTCCTGGGTGGCAAAAAATGCCAAAATAAATAAGCTGCATGCCAACTTTTCCCCTTTCTGCTTTCCAGTTCTGTGTTCCTATAAAAACTTCCATACCCCCCCCCAAAATCTGGAATAAAAACAGTGCAAAGCTTTATGAATTACCAGATAATGGTCTGAAGGTACTTGTTCTAGGCTCCTCTCTAAAGCTAAGCAGATCTTAGCTAACGGCTTTGAAGTTCTTAAAACAACCAAGCAGTATGATTGTTTTAAATAAATAAATAAATCTAGACCTGGCTAAGAACTAGAAGGAATTATGCAGGAGCCCCAGGAATGCAACTGAAAGGCCCTTAGAGAAAGGTAAGGACACAAATGTAGACAAACAAATAAGATGCCCCGCTTCACAATTTCCTTCGTTTATGATAAAGCAAGCTCAGACAGCTGCGTTTTATATAAACTTCCTTCCATATTTCCTTGCGATGTATTCAAGAGTGAATCACTGAACAACTGTGACAATGTGCTCTGATTTCAAAATTGGAGGAATTAAGTGTTCCAAGAGTACAAGAGATGGAGGAGGAGAATGAGTCATCCTATCTCAATCTACCATGAGCACATTTTCTAAACAGCCACTATCTAGCTGTGTCAAACACTACGGAAAAGGAACACTGTGTGTCAGTAGAATAAGCAGTTATGTGCTGTATAAAAACATCTTTTGCCCAAAACCAAAGCTGACTAATTTTTATGACTAAAATAAATTAAAAGGAATTAAATGCATAAAAGTCTAAGAATACCTGTAAAGCACAATGTTCTGAAGTCCCATTACAATGGGTCTTGCATCTTTCCTCCTGCCGTTTGAAGAAAACCTGGGATCTCAATGTTCAAAGGAGACCCTGCATTATGTTTTCCTTAGTATATTTGGAAATGAGTGCAGTAAGTTGAGGTGGTGCTTGAATGTGAAGTGCAGAACTGTGTCCTGAACATACAAATCTTATGCTCAATGTATATATCACGTTATAGCATATTTTGCATCTTTCCTTATCCTCAGAGGTAGAACAGAAGTTTGAACATGAAACACATGTGCACCAGATCTCAATGATAAATGAAAAGCAGCAGCAGGACCCAAAATTTTTAATTCTAAATACAAAACCAGTATTTTCCTGGCACCACAACCAATGATGCCCATGTCACAGTTGACCTTATCTCTAGCAGCAGGGACACTCAGAGGAGAATATCAGCAGATGACCGCAGCACATGAGAAGACCTGACATTTTAGACACCCCAAGAGAACCCACTGGGTCCTAATGCAAATTTAAATACTAGAGAGTTGAAATGAGAGCTCAGTTAACATAGCGTTCACCAGCTACACCTGCAACACTGCTGGAATTTTCAGTCCAGATTCAGCCATGTGGAACATTTGGATATTCAGAAGGTCAGGTAAGCACATATTTACACTGTGGAGCTAAGAAATGGGTTATGACTAAGTAGTAATTTCAGGAAAAGCATAATGGGTTCTACTGTACTCTTAATGGTCATGGACTCTTAGCCTTTAGGGACCTTTCCTGCTTTTATTTTTTCTAGCCATGTAGTTCTATTGACATTCAATGGTGAATAGTCACTAAGTGCATTCTGCTCTGTTTATTGAACCCTTGTTTCATCTTGCTTACAGCTGATCCTGTTAATGATTGAAGTTGGTGGGGTTAGGAGTGACTAAGTCTATCTAAGAGCAAATTGTTAGTCACCCACTTACCTGCATTTTGATTTTGAGCTGGACATTTCTCTCTGTGTGCAATCTAATTTGTTGCCTATTATCCTTCTACTCTTCGCATGAAATTTGTTTGATTTGGGGATGTGTGTGTGTAGGTAGATAGATATACCTGGGTGGACAATAAAACTAAATTCAAGCTTACTGTGAAACTTGAAAGCTAGCTCATTGTTTTTTGCCATTTTCACTTGGTCATAATAAAGATATTGGCAGTGTTCATGCATCATGCTAACATGGTGCCCTCCTGATATTGCTAGCTAACATCATCCTTGACCACTAGCTATGCTGGTTGAGACTTATGGGAGTTGAAGAGCACATTGGATTCCCATCTGCTACATCATGGTTTAGCATGGTGTGAATGAGCTGCAGTGAGCCTCTAGCTTCCTTCCTCCCCTCTCCTCTGCTATAGCTGTGAGGGGCTCAGAAGCTTTTGCTCCTGTTCTTCCTTAACCACAACCTGTCATGGCACTGGAATTTTGAAATCATTGGTTAAAAGTTAGCTTGTTTCAAAGAAACATTAACCATATATCAGAAGTTCAGTCTACATGACAAGCTGAAGCCAAGCAAAAATGGAGCTGAAAGCTTCCAAACTCCTCCTCAGAGCTGCACCACATTAAGCGGGAGAGGGGGGCACACCCAAGCTCAAGGCTCACCAAGTCACATTCTTGTCATGCTACATGTGCAGAGAAGGGCAATCAACATGATCAAGTGTCTGGAAACCAAGCCTTAGGAGGAATGGTTTAGGGACCTGGATATGCTTAGCCTGGCATAGAGGAGACTGAGAAGAGATATGATAGCCATCTTCAAATATCTAAATGGCTGTCACATGGCTGTCACATGGAAGATGGAGCAAGCTTGTTTTCTCCTTCTCTGGAGACTAGGACCCGAACTAATGGCTTCAAGTTACAAGAAAGGAGATTCTGACTAAGCATTAGGAAGAACTTTCTGACAGTAGGAGCTGTTCAACAGTGTAATGATCTTCCTCAGAAGGTGGTGGACTCTCCCCTTCATTGGAGGTTTTTAAGCAGAGGTTGGATGGCCATCTGTCCTGGATGCTTTAGTTGAGATTCCTGCATTGCAGGGGGTTGGACTAAATGATCCTCAGGATCCCTTCAAACTATGGTTCTATGACATTGTGCTACATTCTCTGTTTGAACAGCGGCCACCTTGCTATATTGCCAGCATGACAGCAATTACATTGGTTTCATTTAGGCCTTTTTTATTTTTATCACACAATGGCAGTTTCATGCTAGCCAGTCTGAAATTTAAAAAGATTTTAGGTTAAGGGTCAGAGAGTGAGGATGTTAACATGGATAGCATGCTACATAGACTACAGAAACTGCACATAAAACTGCAGTGTGATGGTTAATAAGCTAAACCTTTCCAAGTGGAGGATAAAGATTAGTCAACATGGCCTCATAAAACATTACAGAGCAAGGCAATCATCTTAGCCTATAGTCAATTTAACCTATAGGTCAACAACAGATGCATGCTATTTATGAACAAAACTAGAGAAGGACATATCAGAATCTACTGAAAGATTTCTAGATGCTACCATAGTAGATTGGAAACAGTTTCCTTATTATTATTATGGGGGGGGGTTGCAAGATGAATGATACCACCTGCTATATTTTATAGACAGCAATAACAAACCACAATATACTAACTTACAAATGCAGAAAGTAAATACAGGCGGCAATCATTTTGCGCAGGGGTTCCATTCCTGGCCCCCTACATGTTGGTGGAGTGTACATAAGCCCACCCCACCCCGTTACGCCACGCCATATCCCTGTTCTGCCCTCTTCCAGGTCCTAAAGGATCCGTGCATCAGCAATCATGCATTAATTGGACATGTGCAAAATGGTCACCGCCTGTACTGACCAGCTTTAAGATCAGCAAGGGTTTCTTATGTTCAGCTGTCTTAACAATAGCAACAAAAAGCTTTCCTTTCTAAATCAGGTTGCTGAAAAGGAACTATTGAGGAAGAAACCAAGGGTGGATTTTTGTGTGAAAGAGAACTTGTGAGAACAGTTCTGCTTCTGATCACAAATTCTGAGCATGTGCTCAGAGATACCCTGGGTTGTACACATAGCACTGTGTGAAAATTCCGTCAGGGCAAGGGTTTCTGCTTGTGTAACAGAATGTTCTCCTGTTCTCCTTCCCATGCTAACCCTAATTCTGCTCTAGGGGCTCAACCCTCTGGAAAAGATTTCAGAAGGGCACTGAGTGCATGCAAGGGGAGAAGAAGTCCCATTGCTCAACCAAAATTCCTTCTTAGCTTTAGTCTGCTCACCTGAGCCACTATTTTGAACCTGGCTGTGGTTGGTGGACCTCAGGGTTGTAGTAGAAAACAAAGTAGATTCCATAAGTCTGATGTCTTCCCAACCCTGAACTACACTGTAACCATGAGTTAACTGGACAACAACAACATATGCACAAACATCTAAATCGAACTCCAGTATTCAGAAGTTTAAATACCTCAGAAGAAAGTTTCAAAATTACCTGATTCTTTTATCTTCAATTTTTTTCAAATACTCGTCTCTCTTCAGCACTCCCAGTATCATTTCCCTCTCATGTTCCAGTAAAAATGACAAATTGATAATCTCCAAGTTTTTTGACATGTTGCTTCGATTGTATTATTTTATAATTTATGTAGTATGAAGGGCATGGATTGTGATATAAAGTTTAAAGGCACATCATTGCAAACAACCAAAAGTTACAAAGTCCAGCTTAGTGACTTGAGTGTCCATTGCAACTTTGCTGGAACTTCTGAACATGCTGTGGGTCTTCATTCATAAATTATCCTCAGGTTAATCGTTTCCCCCCAAAGCTGGTTATTTTGATTCTTTGTACCTGGAAACGAAAGTGAAAATAAGACACTTGACATAATCAGTATGTTGCATGAGCAGCTGAAATCAAACAGTGGTTTGGTGTCTTCAAGACAATACCAAATACCTAAGTGCTGATACATTCACAACATTCATTGTAGACATCTGTGACTCTGACTGTCCCACTGATATTAAAGTACATCCATGGAAACAGCAAGAACAAGCCCTGATTTTACCAACTGAATGTACTTGCAACTGAATAAACTGGAGACGCCCACACTGCTTGTGTCTAACAGTCAGTTCCCAAACCCAAAATCAGCCAAACTATGTGGTGAGTTCAATTTGCCTAACAACTGGAAGAATGATTGCTCCACCACATGGCCAAAATAATTTTCTGAGGATATATTCATACTAGTTTAGTTTGCACTAAAAGTAGATTTAGCCACATAACGGAAAATCATGACTAATCTGTCATTTGGCAGGCAACTACTAATATGTACTTCTAAGATTCAAAACAGTATTTACAATTTTCTTTCACTAAAAATATAATCTTGCTCAGTTGTTTTAAACTGTTTTTAATATTGTGTTTTAATGTTGCAACCTGCCCTGGGACCTTAAGAGTGAAGAGCAGGTAACAAATAAACTCTCCATCCCATTTTCCTTTCTTGTTTCTCAGTTGGTACCATTAATTCTGAGGTAAATACAAGAGAGAAGGCAAGGGAGATCAATACTATCAAACAGAAAATACTTCTTTTAGATCTGTATTCACTTTTTCTTCTTAATCAATATACAACAGATCTCCTGGAGCAAGGGTGCTATTTTTAGGGTACATGTGAAGTGTTAAGTGGGTGATTCTTTAACAGATTTGTAGACTAGGTAAAGCAAATGATCAATTATTACTTGTGGTACTCATTTTTGTCATGTGTGAGCATGATAAATGGTTCATTATTGCATAAACCATTCCTGGCTTGTCAGTTTGCACACTAAATTGATGGTGTATTGAACAGAAATATTTCCATATGTGAAACGACTATGCTGTGCTGTTTATTAATACACTGAATAATCTTTAGTATTTGCTTCCTTAGATATAAGGAGGGATTCTCCAAGAATAGAACAGGCAAGGAAGAACAGTCTGGCTACTGGTCAACAAAAGCATTAATAAACTGCCTCAGTATGCACTGTGTACATAATCAATCATATTTATAAAAACTGCCCCCTTGTTGAAGTCTCTGTCTAAACTATGATTCCAGTTTATTGCTAGAGGAAAGGCCAACATACCAGTTTAAGTGTCACTGGTAAAACAGAAGTAATTTTACTGTGCTCTGTTCAAATTAGTAATAAAATTCCAAAAATAGCCTTGCTGTGAAAGGACAACAAATTAGGATCATTCCTGATCTACATTTATATCATTAAATCGGGAATAACATTTAATCGGAAAGTATTCTAATATTTTTTTCACCAAACTTTTATTAGGTATTACGAATATAGGCCATCATAAAACATCCATATATAAAATTTTTAAATATATATAAATAAACAGCCATGTAAAAATATGTAATAATGAGGATTTTCATTGGAATTTCTTCTCACTAAATAGTGCCATTCACCACTCTGAGAGATACTACTGATAAAAACTCATCCACCCTTGCAGTTACTTCCAGGTTAATGTCAGGCAGGCATAATCTGGTATTTTCATTGTGCCGTGATGTATTCTAATCAGCCAACTATCCTATAACAATGCGATACTTTAAGATGGTATCAGAGAAACTATAACCTTAAAATAGCCCAGCTTCATTCACTGAGACATCAGGAAATAAAATAAAACAGGCAGTAAACTTCCTGTTCAGTTAAAGAAGTCTACAGTTATAAGAAGCATTATTACAAAACCTTTTTCTTAAGTCTTATTTTGCTGGACAGTATGACAAGAGCTACTGAGCATTTAAAATGAGAATAAATCTTCAAATGGCATTATAAATACATAGGTCTTACCGTATCCAGAGTGCTAACAGCTGAAGTACTTCTGGTCAACTTACAGAGGACTACTGCAGTGGACTCTTTACAAAACTAGAAAAACCAGCTGTTCTTCCACCAGCAATCTGTTTGCACAAAGCACACACCCAGCAGCGTGATGCAATATTTGCCACCAGCGCCTGGTTATCAAAAGTACAAGGAACTACCTGCAGCCCCAACCTAATGAATTTTCAAAGGAAGGAATGAAAGTCTTCCATCTTTTTAGAACCATCTTCATCAAACAACAAAGTGAAAAGCTGTCATGTCAGTCATTCAAGGAGAATTACTAACTACCATTTATAATGCCCAATCATACAGATGTAACTGATTTCTTTGAAAATGTAAAAAGTGGTTAGGTCTAGGAAGCTGCTCTATACCAAGTCAGGCCATTCCATCCATCTAGCTTACTGTTTCCTTCAGTGACAGGCAGACAGGAGTGTTTCCCAGTCCTACCAACAGACTGAACTTGGGACCTTCTGCATGCAAAGCATATGCTCTGCTCCTGAGCTATGGCTCTAAGGTCTGAACTAGTCAGATCACCAGAAGGAATGCCACTGCATTAGTACTGCACAGTGGGTATTTCAGTTTATATGAAGCATTTACAACAGAATACCACAGGTGTTGTTCCACTAATGGAAGGCATCCATCAACAGAATGAGGAATTGTGTGTGTGTGTGTGTTTATCTCCTCTGCAAAATCTACTGATTTTGAGGAGGCTCAATGAAGTTGAAAGGGAGAGGATGCATTGGCAAAAACTGCCTCACTCCCCATTCCACTGATGGATGTCGTCTATAAGCAGAGCGACACTTACTAAATGCCACTCTTCTATTTTAATTTTTAAAAAACCAACAGATCACTTTTCTGACGGGGAAAAAGCACATACATAAAGAGAGTAAAACAAACAAAAAAACAAACCCCCTAAACGGCCAACAGCATGGCTTTTAAATATATCAAAACATGTTGCGGGACTGTGGTATTATGCACACTTACTTCAGAGTATGCCCTTTTGAACCTAATAGGACTTCCTTCCAAATAAATGAGCTTATGATCAACTGAACAATGTTCAATGTAACTAATTGGAATAAACAGTTCATGTCACTGCTGGATCACAACAAATAAAAAGTAACCTTTTTGTATGAACATATTGATGTTCAGGCTGTCAGGTGGAGACAATGTTTAATTATCAAATACTGCAAAACATTTTTTAATGGTTAGACATGAAGGCATGGTAAAGAGTTGAAGTAACAAAAAAGCCCATCATTAAATCTTGCTAGAATTCCACAATCTTGCTAGAATTCCTATTACTGTATTTCATCTCCTGAGATACATAACAGCAGTTAATACACAGCACCAAAAGGACACTTGTTGGCACATTCATTCCTCAAGTAAAAACAGAAGCTAGAAGCCACTCTTTCATTTATTTATTTTTTGGAATTATGCCAGCTTCCCTGGCACGCTGTCTTGGATTCTGTTAGATCAAAGCCTGTGCTTCCAAGCTGTACCAAATTTATAAAACAGAAGTGTGAAGCAGTAGCACATATGTATTAAAATACTAATACTCAGGCTAAAACACTTAATGCCTGAAGATTTTTTAAAAAGCCAATTGAGCCGATAAATACCAGTTAGCTTTAGAAATACAGTATTATCCCCAGTTCCAGAAACGGCAGAAAAAACTATACTCATTTATTTTCTCTCACAAAAAGCCAAGAATAAGCCCCAAATACCTGTGCCTCCCCTCCTGAGGAGGAGGATGGGGAATCCCCAAAATAGAATCATATTACATTGCTAACCAAGTGTGCCATATAATCCCATACATTCTAGATGACGAGACGAAACAATGGGTCCACTTGGAGAGAACAATCAAAAACTTCCCCAAAACAGCATACAGTGGAACCTCTATTTGCGACCATAATCCATTCCGGAGGTCTGTCCAGAGGTCGAAAATGGGTTGCTGGGAGAGGCGCCGTTGTGCGCAGGCACGGGCGGCAATTGCCGCTTCTGCACATGCATGAATGGCGATCACCGCTCCTGCGCATGCGCGAATGGCAGCAAACCTGCCAGCTACTTCCGAGTTTGCCGCAGTCACGACTTGGAACAACCATAAGAAGAGGAGGAGGTTCAACTGTACCCATTTCTCCAAAACAAACTAAAGAAAATCCCCATAATACTAAACAGGTTCACACAGTCCATGCCTAAAGCATGGAAGGAAAAAGTAGGCAAACTGTCCCCAGCCTCACTAATTCCCCTGGCTCATCACTCACTATTCCAACATGCAGCACAAAGCCTCCAGATAAAAACCTGGCAAGCCAAAGGCCTACATAATTTAAAGTCTTCTACCCATACCGACACAAACCTATACTGACACAAGAAATACAAGACAAACTAGGGGACACCCAAATACCTTGGCTAATGCACCACCTACTACACGCCTTCCTGAACAATCCAGCAGTAAAATCAGCAGCCACTAAGCCCTTGGCAACCTTCAAAAACCTTCTCCTGACAGCAATGGGACACGGCAAGGAGATGGTAATCACAGTATACAAAACACTGCTCCAAAATCCCACAAACCCCCATGACACAATCAAAAACAACAGGAGCACAACATAGGCTATGAAATTTAACCCCACCCAATGGACTGGAATGTGGTCTAAACCTCCCTTTAAATCCATCTCAGCCGAAAGAAGGAAACTCACTCTGAAACTTACCTACAGATGGTACCTAACACCACGGAAACTGGCATTGATAAGCCCCGGAGCCAAAATGTTGAAGAGGCTGCACCTCCACAGGCACATACCTTCACATGTGGTGCGAATGCCCCAAAATCCAACCCTTCTGGACAGCAGTCCTACAAGAGATATGCAAAATAACTAACAGGTATTAGAATTCACCCCAGAACTGGTGCTACTGAATATTTTCCAAGATAATAATGTCCATTCACATTATAAAGAGCTTATAACCCACCTACTTTCAGCAGACAAAAGCATCATAGCCAGAAACTGCAGAGATCTGTCAGGA